TTTTCAAAGATAATTTTTCAAATTTGCATTAACGAAAATTTGATGACTCATTTTGATTAAACATTCCAGTATTCTATTCTGTGTTGGAATGATTGCCAGTACATTTGTATATAAGGTGCCCATGGACTCGTTTTCAGCTACTCATTTTTATTATTTTTACCTGGAATGCTCATGTTTCTAATTATTGGGAAATTAAGGTGTTTTATCGATGCTGAGATCAATAAAGTGTTCCAATAAGTCGACCAATCGATATTTGGTGTATGGTGGGGGCAGAAAGATCCCCCTGCAGCTCAATTATTTTATCAATTGCTGGCATTTGCTTTCTGAAGTGCTGCTTAGATCAATCACATGACCAGACCATGGTTCAAAGAGTTATTTTTCGCATTTTTTCCGACATATTGTACGTGCTTTAACTTGTCGCGCTGACAAGTTCAGACGAGCATTTTGCATGACACCGGCTTCATCCATCTACATCAGTATAATGCTAAACGCGTGGTTTTATTACAGCGCGACAATGTAGCGCCCGTGTGCACCGACAGTGATCATATATATCAATTGTTTTAATTATTCCCAATAACTGTGAGTCATGGCTAATTCAAAATTCAGAAAATAATACATTTACCATAAATCAAGTTAATTTGCCTAAAAACTCAAAATATGAGTGTATAAAAGTCATTTTATGGGTTCTGTTCTATGAATTTTGGATACATGTATGCTAAACACGTAAGCTGCTTGGAAATGCTATAAGAACTGGCTGTTGTCAATAAATTGTATAAAATGTTTGTTTGGTGTGCAAAACTTGAGGTGCGAGGAAGGGGGACTTCATTTCAAAACAGTGCTGACAACTAAATTTATGGGGAAATGTTTTCTGAAGCTCCTGTGGAAGACCACCATTCTTGTGTAGGAAAGACTTAATTATCTCAGTTCAGATTTATGAAATACATATTTAGACCTCATCTGAAGCAATGACTTTGACACTATTTTCAATAATTTTCTTCTTCATGCTGCTATTTGTAAAGATTATTGGAAAAAGTCATGTGAGTATTATTTAGACAGTTTTAGAGCATTTTCAAGCAGTATTTTTCACCTAAGTTCCTTTAGTTTTACCAACTGCACCATTTTGGAAGTTGTGTGCGTGTGCGTGTGCGTGTAAGTGTGCGTGTGCGTGTGGGTGTGCGTGTGTGTGTGTGTGTGTGTGTGTGTGTGTGTGTGAGTGACATTTCTCTGGGTAAACAGTCTTTTTGATATTATCCAATTTTTATTATAAGCATAAAACAAGTAACTGGCAAATTTAATGTTTACTTTTTTTGAAATCATTTTCTGCTGAGAGATATCAGTCATATTAATTGCACAGAAAATGTAAGAGACACAAAAACATGTTTTAACACAAAATGAATATCAATTTATGTTTACAAATGAATATCAAATTAGGTTTACCCATGTAAGATTAGTTTTTTGACAAATTTGAATTGGTGTTTTGACAAACATGCTAACACAAGGATCTTCTGCTTCTTCCTCCCCTTTGAAAGGTTATATGGAAGATTGGTGGAGACCACGGAAAGGTAATATTTCTGGATATAAAAAATCAATTTTTGCTTGCGGATACTAGGGGATGGCTGGAAGCACTATCGAGGAGGATTCTCCGTCTGTAGTCGTACGCCGCTGAGAGAAATTGCCAAAGATACCGCGAATATCGGTCTGTATACTGCCGACCAAGGCACATCAGGGGATACTAGCGCGTGCCATTTAGGGTTACCAGATGGGATGACTAAAATATTTGGGCAGGATTTCAAAAAGTGAGATATTTTGGGATTATAGTCGGGACAAATAAATATTACGAATTAATAATATTTTTTGTTATTCAAATTTAAGTTGTTACAACAAAATAATTTTTGTCAAGTTGTGAGATTACAGATGTAACATATGAGATCAAAATATGAGATGTTTTGTTATTTGTCAAGGCAATTTGCATGTTGCCGGACTTCTGGCCACCATATTCACTGTGAACCAAATTGTAGGATGGATTGAGTTCATGTGTACGAGATAGAAGTGTGTATAGACACATATGTTAGAAAAAGATAGAAGCCGGCTAGATAGCGAAGCTCATCACCTAGCAACGCCGACGCGGCAATCTGCAGCGTTGCCAATATGTTACACCAGTTCCTTGAATTAAGATGCATATTGAAAATATTCTCTACGCCCGAATAATGATATTTTGAGTGTACACATCTTTGAATTATGAATTGTGTCGATTTCGTTTGGGATTGATCCCGATTGGTTCTAACGGCGCTCCATTTTAGGTGGAAAAGGTCAAGATCACCACATATTCTGCCACGTTCCGTCATTGGTTCGTTTGATAACACCGCATCTTGTACATTCCAAGGTAACTCAGGATGTGCTTATTTTATCACCATCGGTGGAAATCATAGATAATCCTAAAATAAATTGAAACACTAAGTCGCATCAAAATTGAAATAAGTAATTCTAATAAAAATGAAAACCAAATATTAAATTTAATGATCGAACAGACCTTCTTCTTGGGTTTGACAGTAAGCGATCCTATTGTAGAAGCCTCTCCGAACATTTTCTGGTGTAACATATTGGCTACACGGCAGATTGCACGATCTTCCGTGGCAGTGTGGTGATGACCTTCGCTCTTCAGCCGGCTTCTATCTCTGTCTAAGATGTGTTGATACATACTTCTCGCGGTTCTCTCTCGTACACATTGAACTCAAGCCGTCAGACAAATTTGGTTTTCCCTGTATGTCGCGACAATTCCGACTATCTGGTAACCCTAATGACATCGCCTGCTGTCACGGCATTATCTAGCATCTTGTTCGAGAAAAATCGTTTGAGCGGTATCGAAGAGCATTGCGGAAAATGCTATTGATATTGTGGTAAGCTGGTGTATACGACGGTATGTCGACGATTTCTCTTCATCACATCCTCTTCGATGCTTTCTTCTTCCATCTGCCAGTATGCGCTAGATCATGGTCATACGAATGTGGTACTATCTTGAAGGGGATGTAATTTATACTCTAATATATTAATTCGGTATCGAATAGCATAGCGGACAATGCTATCGATATTGTGGTAAGCTTGTGTATCCGACGGTATGTCGACGATTTCTTTTCATCAAATTATCTTCGATGCTTTCTCCTTCCATCTCCCAGTATGCGCTAGATCATAGTCATATGAATGTGGTACTAACTTGAAGGGGATGTAATCTATACTCTAATATATCAATTATAGATAGATAGAATGCCTAATTTTACATAAAAAGTCACAAACTCCATTGAAATCCGAATCACACATTAAATCTGCAGTATTCCATGCTTAATGCAGTTAGTATGCAAGAAGTAGCATAAAAGAGCTTGGGAATAAAATATATATCTCAGCATCTTGTCAGCTATTCGTCTATAACAATCGTTTTGGGTTGCAAAGATTTAGTCAAGATGCAACATGTGCCCAGACTTAGATTGTTGAGATTATTTACAAGCGTGTTTGTTAACTTTTCAAATAAAATTTTCAAAATTTGTATTTGCAGACATATTTCATGATTGATGAATGGCATTTCACACGTCCCTAAAAAGTTTCTCAATCGTTCCATTTCAGTGTGCTTAAAAAATAAATAATTGTGATGTGCTTACTGTAAAGACAAACTAAAGATCTTATCAAATTCAGTCCAATGGAAAATAATGTTGATAACCATAAGCACTATTTTGCATTGGTTGCACTTTGAAAATATGTAATCTCCGAGCTTATTTTATTGCGCAAATTTTAACTTGGTATTTTTCTCTTTTTTCATCTATAGCCCACGCTACTGATTACTACGGTAAGTTTCGAGATTCCTGAACATATCTCACCTTATTCAGAATTACTGTCGTCTCATTTCAAGTTTGGTTGTACTTCAGGATCTAGTGGTATCACAACTTTAGAAAATCCCAATCAGCACTTTGGATCGAGTGTTGGGTTTTACTTGACATGCATTTTTCGATACAAGTTGAAAAGGGCTTATGTGGTTTTTTTATCTCAATTATATTCATGTTCCTATGAACCTGAAGTATATAGTAGTTTGACAATTTATTTTTTTGTCATTTTTTGCTTTAAGTATAATCCAACAATCAGATTAGTGAAAACTGCAAACTACCATAACCGTGATACATACAAAAATTAGTGATCCTACTAGATCTAGCTACAAATATAAAAATATATAAAAGTTACAATATAATTCCATTATAATAGTCCTATTTTGATTTTTGGGTTAAAACATTTATTATTTGGCTGTCTTTTGTAGTTTCTCGTAGCTTTTCTGTGCTTCTTAATCATTAATTGCATTACTAACCTCCGCACTAACTCTAACACTAATCCTATGCTTTTATGGGAGATGTTTTTACAGGACTGTGGTACTTTGTATTAGCCTTTAATGGAGTTCCATAAAAAAAACGTTGCTGGAGACTTTACTGGATTTTCGTATACACATTTTTCAGACACCTAGAAATTTCATTATCTTAAACAGCCTAAATTTGAACTGGAATTGAATGTATTTGCGGAAGGCGGCCTATAGTATTTCAATATATTTCTCTATTGGAGTCTCTAAATGGACAATATTTTTGTAGTTATATTTGGCTATAACTATGGCAGTTTAACTCAGCCATCTCGAATATATTGCAGCATATGGCCTAAAAATGTTGGTTATATCAGCTATGTCTTGGCTATATCTTGCCAATGATGTCTTCATTGTGAAGACACATACAGTTTTCAGAATTTCGCATCAGAAGTACAAAATCAGGCAACAATGACTGACATGTCTATCCAAATATGTAATGCACTCGAACCGTTCCTGTCAATAAAAAAGCTATGGATACGAAAATTCCGTAGTCTCCCATTTTTCTCAAATTGAAATGGTTCAATGAATTAACTAAGGGGTATATTAATAAAATTACACTGTTAGTATGTCATTGATACATAAATATGTCTATCTCTTTCGCACTCGAGCAGATGAGTACAACTTAAATCCAGGATTGGAATGGGAGGACGAATTTCCAGGTAGGTATTAAACTCAATCTGCCATTGTCCACTTGTCACCATTAACAAAAATTTATGAGGAAAAATATCAAAATAAATGTCGCAAAGGTGAATATAATCAAACGAATATGTTAGTATATTTGCAACACATGATTACCGACATAGCCAGATATAGTTTTGAAAGACTTTTTTAAAAAAATTTTTTTTCTATAATATTGAATATCAAATCCAATTCATGAATCATGATTAACCAATCTTTGATGATGATTCAGATATGGTTATGGTACTACTAGTAGTATTTAGCATATTTTTTTAAGTTTGGACATATACAGAATAATGTTTTGGATATATCTTGTCATGGAGTCTCTGAATTTGGTCACTAAAATCAAATTGTTTAAGCTAATTATCATCCATTTTTCCTCACTTCTCTTCTGGTTTCAAAATGTCTCAAAACATTTCTTGTTATAATAAAAATTCTATTGACCTTTGTGCAATTTGATCACCCTTTACGACAAGAATGATACGTTTGTCTTTATCTGCACAATCAGTATCTATTAACTTTTATTCTGCATTTTGAATTATACGTAGTTATTTGGATGCACTACTAACACTAAATATTAACCCACTATTGTCTTTATTACACTATAACATTGAAATAAACAGACCTAAACTTCGCACTGCATTTTGTATGCTTTGAAAAATGCTTATGCACACTATGTCAACGCTTGTTAATTTGTTTATCTGGTGTATTGGTTACCTTACTTGCATATCTTTTAATACAGTCATTTCAGGTCATTTCAGAAACGTGATTTTCTGTGATATGTTGGTTGTGGTCGGATGTATGACCAGTTTCTGGACTGCATTCACTTTTGTTGTTACAGAACTTTGAAACACAAACATTGACTTTTTCATAAATATAACAATTTCAACAATGTGGACTTAGATAGTCCTCTACGTCGTATTTGTCTATGTATACGTAATATTTGGCCAATAATGAGGCCAAAATAGGCGCAAGAGTGACGAAAAAGTAAAATTTTACGTTATTTTCTCAAAAACTATTTTTTTCTCAAAAACTAAAAAAAAAAACATACGAGTACGCTTAAGCAAGTTTGAGGGAGCGTTTCTAAAACATAAAAAACACTTTGAAAAACTTCAATCGACAATGAAAAAATCGAAAAGTAGCATTTTGTGAAGAATTTTTAAAAACGAAATTTTCGAACGGAAAGGAATAAAGAAATAAAAAAGGCGCGTATAAAATTTTCGATATCTCGGCTATCTTCGGAGGATATAGATGCGGAATTTCGAAAAGCACGTTTAAGACCCAAAAAAACCCTGTCGTAGTACACCACTTAATATTATTGATTTGTTTTCCGGGATGAAGAATCCTGAAAAATAGATTGGTGCAGTTATATACCATGGATATGTATATACATTCATTTTTAGTTAATATAGGAATTTAGCAGTTATAGTGGTCGTATTATTTTGGTGTTTCATATGGGATAATTGCTTCACCATACTATTGTCGGTTTTCCAAAATGACCTGAAATGACCGCTTACGAGAATTTCCAAATTATTCACCCAAAAGTTTTGACCTATGACGCGGTCGAAGGAGAAGAAGATGAAAGTTTGCCGCATCTCGGAGTTGGTGGATCGGTCAGCAAGTTACCGCCAGGCATTTTACCACACGGTCTACCACAAGTCAAGGAGGTACTACCGGCTGTCACGGCAGTAGATGAAAAACGAGAGGAAGAGAAACGAGAAGAGCAGAAAGAAAGTAAGTTGATCAATTTCAAATCAAAGTAAATCGCGACCGAAACATGTTCTTGGGTGATTTTGAACATATTAAAATATTAGTTTTTATAATATTGCGAATCAATAACAACACATTATCGCTACAGAAAGGGGCATTAAATGTGCTTAGATTCATAGGTATATCAAAGGAATACAAATACACAAATATTGATACAACAAAGGCAATACACATGACTTTGCAGTTTTGTTAAGTAGATAGATAGCGCGCAAATTTCCATATTTTTACACTGAATAACAGTGTTCACATCTATGAAGTCAAACAAGAACCCACCACTTGTTACTCACTGTCGTCTGTATGTAACTTTTTTTGTGGCCACGTAGTCTCAGTAGCAACTGTATTGGAAAATATGAAAACATTCATAAGCTTCTTATTTCACGATTTTTGAGTTTATTTTTTTCGGTGTAATCGAAACTTTGTTTTGAAGATGTCATTTTTAGAAAATCTAAACTTAGACCTTGCACATCTTTGAAATTCTTGGTAATTTTAGGACGTAGTAAAATGGAATGCCTGCAAGGTTTGAATTATGTGAGATCTATCTTTTTAATTTAGAACAGTGTCTTCTCACTTCAGTAACCAACCTTTCTACATAAATAAACTAGGACGCTGAAGTTTCTGTTTTTTCCAGTTCGTGAGCTTAGCGAAGAGGAAAAACAAATGATAATTTTGTCAGAGGACTTTCAACAGTTTATTGATAGGGCTGGAAGGATCATGGAAAGGGCTCTATGTGAAAACGTAGACATTCAAACCGATTACTCGGGAGGTTTTGGAGAACAAGATTTGTAAGTGTTTGAATGCCTAACTGTAGTGTATAATCCTCATGTCAGATACCGTAAATCATGTCACCAGTGTCTAATATTGCTCCATATAGGCGACGCTAGTGTAGCTGGAGGTCAAATTGTCAAAAGTAGGTGGAGACTTGATAGAAAGGTAATCTGTTTTTAACGATACTTCACAACGTTTTGACGTCCATTGATATAAACAGTTAATCAGCAATTAAAATCTTTGTTGATAACTTTAGACACGAACCTCAATCTAACTAGCGCCCTCTACTTCTAGCTTTACAGATTACTCCCTATTGTTTCATAATAGTTTATAAATCTATTACTTACTAATCCCAAAACTTTGGCGAAAACAGTATTTATTACCGATTTTATTTTTCCAGAGACGAAAAGTGCCATCAGCGAATATCCTTCGCTAGAAAATTCTTCGATGAACGATGGTCTAAAAATAGAAAAGTTACATCCCTTGATTGGTCACCTCAGTTTCCTGAGCTCCTATTGGCTGCGTATAATGATAACGAGGAGGCACCAAACGATCCCGATGGGGTGGTGTTAGTTTGGAACAATAAGTTTAAGAAGAATACACCAGAATATATTTTCCATTGTCAAAGTGCTGTTTTGTCTGCTACATTTGCTAGGTAAGTCCAGGCGATTTGGGTGTGAACGAGTTTGGGAAAGAACTACCACTTGAGATCTTTAATTCTTTATAGTCCTGCGGTATCACATTTTCGATAGGTTATACAACTTTAATATTCTTCTAATACTCCTTTATATTTAATGTGTTATATAACCATCCACATATGATTGACTCTATTCACAGTATCAACTTTGTAAATTTTGCTAGAGACAAATTTAAATTCATTTTTGCAGATATTTCATGGTAGTCAGCTTTTTTCCATCTGCCAACCACTCTAATGAGTTTGTCAGTTTGTTAACTTCTAGAAGTTTGTACATGAGGTGAGATGCATTCCTTAGAATTATATTGTGACATGAATAAATAGTACCGTTGGCGCCATCTGTCGGACCCCGGAGCTGCTAGAGGAAATCCATTCCGGTGTATCAGGAGGTCATCTCGGAGTTACAAAAATCCTGGGAAAAGTGGGAAAGATTTTACTGGGTCAATAGCAAGGAGGACGTTAAAGACTGGTGCAGATAATGCGTTGTGTGTGCGGCAAGTAATGGACCGCAAAGGAAACCAGAAGCTTCGATGCGCCTATACAATGTGGAGCCCCTTTGAAAGGATTGCTATTGATGTGGCGGTACCCTTTCCAAAAAATGAAGCATGGAGTAAATTCATCATTGTGGTAATGGATTACGAGGGCGGTTCGATAAGTACCCGTGTTAGAAATGAAGACACCATTTTTTCCCAAAAAAATCTTTTTATTTTTCAACAATCCCCTTTTTATTAAGATATACTTTTTCCTAAGTTCCTGCCATTTTTAACCCCCCCCCCCCCCCAAAATAGGATTTGTCGAAATCTCCAAAATACGCCTCTGTCTCGGCGATGACTTCCTCGTTTGAGCTAAATTTTATCCCCGCAAGCCATTTCTTCATGTCAGGGGACAAGAAAAAGTCGCAGGGGGCCAGATCGGATGAATACGGGGGGTGCGGCAGCCCTTCATAACGCAGTTCATGCAGTTTGGCGGCGACAACTCCGGATGAATGTGCTGGTGCGTTATCGTGATGAAACAGTACCTTCTTTTTCGTCAAATATGGCCATTTCTTCTTCAATTTTTTGTGGAAGCGCTCCAGTAACTCACTGTTTGTCTAGTGATCGTTTTTTATTTTTCTAAAAAATCCACGAGGATGATGCCGTTCGCATCCCAAAAAATCATCGCCATGATCTTTCCAGCCGATGGGACCGTCTTCGCCTTCTTTGGAGCAGATTCACCGGGAGAAATCCATTGTTTTGATTGTTGCTTAGTTTCTAGTGTGTAATGATGCCGCATCCGCTTGTTGTCCACCGTGAGCAATCGCGACACCTATCGGGCGACAATTTTTTCATAGCCAACTTATCATGTAATATATACGTATTGATTGCCGTTCCGGTCGACACATCTACGGCCCCTGCTACTACGTTCGTTTGTTGATCATCGAGAATCATGTCGTTGACTTTTTGAATGATTTCCTCGGTAACCACGTCTGCCGGGCGACCTGGTCGATCCTCATCAAAAACGGATGTTTGCCGACGTTTAAATTCGGAAGCCTCTACGGTAGCCGATGTTTTAGTAAAGGAATGGATCTGTCGATTTGGTGTATCTTTGCATTCGGACCAAGGGCACAATTTCGAGTCAAATCTGTTCCAAAGTATCTGTCAAATCTTTGGAATTAAGAAGACCAGGACTACTACCTTACACCCGCAGTAAGATCGGATGGTAGAGCGCATGAAAAGGACCATTAACCTGTTACGCTGCCTACTCAGACTGGATTAACTGTTCCCAATATCCAAATACTTGTTTCGCCATCAGACTAATATTGGTAGATGAAATCATTTTTAGTTATTTATATTGGTATCGAATTTAAAAAAGGTGTATATTGGTAAAGAAAAAAATTGTCCCCGCTCGGAGCTGGTGGCATTAAAACCAGGATTATTCGTATCACTGTCGATGACTCCGATCGGAGCTGTCGGCACATGGCGAAGGTCACCGATTGGCTCCGATCGGAGTCATCGGCAGCGAACGTGTTAACCGGTATTTGGCTAACGTAGTCTAGCCTGGGATAGTTTTCTTCACTTCCTCATTTTTCCTTACCGATCGTCGATTCATGAAAGCACAGGAGAGACCCCGGCTCGAATAGTTATGGGAAGAGAACTTCGTCTCCCATGCGATCTAAAGTTTGTCTGTACACCAGGAACTGATATTGGCGGAGAAGACTACGTAAGTGAGCTGCGTAGAAGAATGGATGCCATCCATAGCCAGGTTCGTGTTTCAATTGCAGGTCCCAGCGACCGGATGAAGGAAGCTTATGACGTTAATGCCAGAGACCAGAGGTATGACAACGGTGATACGGTTTGGCTTTACGACCCAGAGAGGCGAAAAGGGCTGTCGCCTAAACTTCAATCGTCCTGGCACTGGCCATATAAAGCCATCAATGATGTTCTCTACAGGATTCAGAAGGCACCACGCGGTAAGGTCCGAATTGTACATTTAAACCGACTTGCCCCTTATCATAAAAACAACGAAGATGGGGCGGTGCGACAAATCCAACCAGAACCGGACATGGCATTTATGGCTCACCATGCTATTGGCCATAAGAGTCGGTATGGCGTGACATGTGAAGTACAGCAAGATATGTTTACCACTTCACCAGAGTATGCCCTGGCCCACTGTGTTACTCAAGACTTGCGAATGCCGAGAGGTATAGCAAAGGTCGTTCTTATGAAGTTTGGAAGAGTCCACGAGCTGCGACAATCTAATCTAACCCGGAAGTAGGAGAAGTACTCCAGATAACTGAAGAGGGTATCAACCGAAAGATCTTCTATCTGGTTACCAAGAAAGTTTCGTATCAGAAAGCGAATTACGAGGATGTCTGGAACGCTTTGTGTTCTCTTAGAGAATTGTTGCTTGCCGAGGACCTGAGAAAACTGTCAATACCTAAGCTGGCATGTGGACTGGACAACCTGGACTGGAGAATCATCCGAAGCATGCTTGAGGTAGTCTTCCGGTATACAGGCGATCGATTTCTGGTATGTTGTCACAGTCCTAGACGGCTACTTCCTGGAAAGAGTGAGGATTATTACTTCTTTAAGAACTCCTACTTTAGGGAGGGGGCAGTGTGACATGAATAAATAGTACCGTTGGCGCTATCTGTTGGGAGACTCTCCTACTCGCAAGAGCTTCAGGGCCGATCTCTGTTATTTACGCGGATCACGACCGCACATGCCGCTTGGCGACATCTGTTGAGGACCCTACCATGGACTCACCTTCTAGATCGACGCGAAGTGACTTCGAATATTCTAGATGCCGCTTTGTGGCTCGCCAGACCTTTCTCGAATGAGCCATGGGGACTATATAGTTCGACGGCCGGAAGATGGAAGCGGAGTCCGGTGGAGTAGAGCAGAGTGGAGTATAATTCAGTCAGTGGCGCGACATAAGAATTAGTCAGACATAAATAGTGGTGTACACTCTATCTAGTCAAGATAAATAAATTAGTGCATTTCTTTTTGTGGAAACCAGAGTTTTAATCCACACACAAAAGTAATTATACATCTTACTCGCCATTGTATTCCTTTAACGTTGCCCTGGAAGAATAAGGTGGAATATTTTATCCTGCAAGAACTAGTGAAATTAAATTACCAAATAAATGGTTCAGGAACTAGGATTCGCATTTCAATGATTTGTTTTATGCGCCAGATTTCCGACGGGTTATTTCTTCTTTTGATTACAACCCTCTATCTTATTTGATTTATGGGAAAATGGCACACAGTCATTCCTTTCAAAAACTTTACTTTTCACGAATGCATTAGACTTCCAATGTACTCAACCCTTTACACTTCTCAATTCTGTCTGTCCAATGTTAACTGGACTGATAGCTTTTTTCACCACCTTATTATTGTTTTTAAATACTAAGCTCTCCAAAGCGCCTTTGCTAGATTTTCCATATACAATAATGGACAAAAGTATATAGACAAATATGAATATTTACCTAAATACCTTTAGAAATGGAATTTATACTTCATTGCTCCATAAACAAATGCGTTATTAGTAGAAAAACTAAATTCATTGTTTTTACATTATCTGCAATGAACACAATACAAGTCTGAATATAAGCACTTTTTATGAGGGACAAAAATATATAGACAAATTCTTTTCAACATTAGTGTCAGAAGAGGATTAGTTTGTGTTCATCAAGTATTGTGGAATAAGTTGAGTGATTTTAAGACCTTGCCGCGTGGTCCAGAAATTTCTTTCGATGTGAAAACTAAGATCATTGAGTTATACAAAGATGGTCGACAATGCCAAAAATTTGAAGCTGGAGCTTAAAGCACTTTGGGCAATATTGAACAAATATAAACAAAAAGGTATCTTGGAAACCTCTAAGAGAAGTGGTCGGCCTAGAAAACTAAATGCTAGATCAGTTACATTAATAAAAGTCATTTCGTCTAAAGATCCGTTTAAAACCCCAAGACAAATAAAAGCCGAAATCCAGACAAAAGGAATTGTCAGTGTTTCTACGACAACTATAAGTAAAAGATTAAATGATTTGAAGTTATTTGCACGTCGCCCGAGTAAGAAGCCGCTAATCTCGAGGAAAAACCTTAAGGACCGATTACAATTTGCACGGTTGCATCTTGATTGGAGCATCTGTGACTGGAAGAGGGTATGTTTCAGTGACGAATCCAAGTTCAATATTTTTGGATCAGATGGTGTTCATTGCGTTAGACGTCCTATTGGACAAAGATTGAACCTCAAGTACACTTTGCCCACTGTCAAACATGGAGGCGGGTCTGTTATGGTTTGGGGGTGCTTTTAGGTGTTTGGGACCTTTACATAGAATAGATGGCATTATGGATAAGTTTGTATACACAGACATATTAAAGCATGTCACGTTACCCTATATGGAAGACAATATGCCCTTAAGATCAATCTTCCAGCAAGATAATGACCCGAAGCACACTTCAAATCTCCCAAAGAAATTCTTTCTGGATGAAAAAATACCGGTTCTCAAATGGCCTTCACAGTCTCCCGATATAAACCCCATTGAAAATCTATGGGAATACTTAGATAAGCAAACACGAGATAAAAATTATTCGAACAAGGATAAACTTTTTGCCGCTTTAGAGCAAAAGTGGAGACAGATTGATGAATCTCATATCAAGAAACTTCTACAATCTATGCCGAGACGATGCCAGGCGGTGATTGATAATAATGGTTATGCTACAAAATATTAACACAAACATGGTTGGTTTTCTATAATTCAATGAACTTTGCTTCTTTTTTCTATAATTGTTTTGTTTTAAGTATATATTTTTGTCCATAGTTCCAGTTTTTTCAATTAATTTTTTATTGAAGGGAGTCTAATGAATTTATTTATGTATAAGTGAGTATTATGCTATAACGAATTATGTATACAGGTTGGGGTATTAATAAAACAAGTTAAAAAAGAAATACAGCACAATATTAATTTGTCTATATACTTTTGTCCATTACTGTAGGTCATGATCATTTTGCTACAACATTACAGACAACCAAACTTTTTAAACTGTCTTCGAACATGGTTACTCTTTGGTAGACTGCATTTATTGATATTTTTGGTACATGGTACCTTGTTGTAACTAGGTCTTTTAAATTTTTAAATGGCAACGATGTCCGATTTTGATCCCACTAGGCTGCGCTTATGTGGTTCGAGTCAACCTGTTAAACGTAGATGGGAAAAAGATGAATTTAATAGAGATAATATGGAAACAAGACAGATTTGATGACAGGTGATGGGAAAAAGACTGATTTGATAGACAGGAGGTGGGAAAAAGACAGATTCGATGGAGAGGTAACCTAATTTTCACGTTTTGACGTCTATTGACGTAAACAGCTGATCAGCAATTGACATGTTTGTTCATAATCTTAGATATTACCCCCAGCCTAACTAACGCCATCTTCTTCTAGCTTTCTGGGTTATCCCCCATTGTACTTGAAATGGTACACTGTTAGAGTGATGCACCATTTTATTGATTGTTTATTTGTTTCAGGTTTCACCCTAACTTGATTTTAGGAGGCACTTATAGTGGGCAAATCGTCCTGTGGGACAACCGAGTACAGAAAAGGACGCCTATACAAAGGACTCCGCTCTCTGCTTCCGCACATACGGTATAATTACATCTGGAAATGTAAATTTTTTTTTCACAGCATATTTTTCAGCACCCCGTCTACTGTATGTCAGTTGTGGGTACACAGAATGCTCACAACTTGATCAGTATTTCTACAGACGGACGAATGTGTTCCTGGTCTTTAGATATGTTAGGACAACCTCAAGAGATTCTAGATTTACATCGAATGCAATCGAAACCAGTGGCTGTGACTTGTTTGGATTTCCCGCATTCGGATGTGAACAACTTTGTGGTAAGTCAAATAGATATTTTAAATTACTTTTGTTTATTTAAGATTTATTTAGCATGTTTGCTACAATAAAATTCTTCTAAAAACTTAAACAATTACATGACATAACACATTTAGACAAAAAATTGCATATGTAAGAATTTTCATTGTCCATGAAATATTCCTATATTACTATTGCAATTTTGTACATGAAAATCTATATTTCCTCTTGTATAATAATTGTGGTAATGTTTATTCAATTCTATGTAGTGTTCTAAATGTTCTGGCAAAAGATGATTTTTTATTTTAAATATAAAAAGAAGAACCAAGTATGCTATGAAATTTTTTATATTCAACCACTCTATTAATATAGATTAAAAAGAAGAGCAATGTGTCAGGAGTGACGTGTCCTCGGTGTTCAAATAAAATATTGAAAAATGTATTAATACATGGAAAATATTAAATTCTGTAATTTTCTTCTGACCGAACGTTACGTTCCTTGGAAAACATTTTTTGTGGACATCGACGATGCGGTATATAAACGTATAGTAATAGTTGACATGGGCGATTAATCATGATGATAAGATATTTTTAGCTCCTTACACTTATAACAACTAATTGAATGTAGTAATTACTAAATTATTAGAACATATCAGTTTTTTTGTTTATTTCTTACGGAGCTTTCATTAATTTGCATTAAACAATCACATTTTTTGTACGTTTTATTTTAAACTAGGAGCGCGCAGAAGTTTCAGGGCGACTAAGCAAAATTTCAATACAACCAACAAGGTGTTCTACAAAATACAACGAATATAATGACCTTTTTTTAATTGTGCGATATATAAAATTTCTAATAATATGTTTGTTTGTTTCAGATTTATTTAGCATTAATGCTACAATGTTCATATTATCCTTATTACACAGTATATCACAATATATATTGTGTCTTCAAGACTACACATTTTCAAACTGACACACATCTTGATATCATTACTTAATTTATTAAATTCGTAAAATCTGACTTGCTCGTTATATTGCTACTGCAGTTTTGTAAATGAAAGTCTGAAGTAGATTCAAGCTAACACGATATTGCTCAGGGCTCTTTCGTGGGTTTCAGTAATAACTACGGCGATCTGGCTAACAAACTTTAATGGTGGTAAGGCACAAAAATAAACCACTAAACTAAAAATCATAGAACCCGGTAATTATCAAGATCCCGGAAGATGATTGTCACCTGCTACAATTTTGTCCACTGTTTCCGAGTTGCCGCGTACCTCACTGAATCACTACAAGCACAGCCGACGTCAACTACGAGCCGTGATGAAAGAAAGGCAACACCGCGCTCGGACGGCATGGTAGTGCAACCTGTGAACGTCGGCCGCCAGCGGCTGTGTGCTCCGTATCCGTGTAACGTTCAAGAACTAAATTTAATTTTGGAAAAGAGGACAGTTCGATTCGATACAAACCATCTGAATATGAAATAGCTCTAAAAAATTTAAAAATACGAAATAATCGTGATATATATGAGTCGCTAATGCAGTTAACCTAATTAAAAGTATTTAGTTTACATTTTTTGGTGTCAGCACACTGTGTTCCAACAGGCCCAGCTTGGAAATGTGGAGTTACCTGTTTGTTTTTAATACATTTACTTTCAGTTTTACTGTTATTTTTCAATTTTACATAATCATTCAAAATTATGTTTGAAAAAATAGACAAAAGCTTAGATAAAATATCTGCATAATTGCAGCCACAGATGCAAGTTAAAGAAAATTCACTGTATATAAAGTCAGACTGAATGCTGAGCAAGGTTAACTGACACAAAATAAATTTTTGATTATTGCTTTTCAAGAAGAAAATTTCCAATCTATCTACATTAATAATAGATTCAAAAATGGCATACATATGGTAGAATATGATTGGTACATCATAACTGGTTTGATTTGACAGTCCTCCTATTTGCAAATGATCAAAATAAACATTTGTTGTTAATGAACCTTTTTCTTTAACTATTAGCGATTTGCATATTTCGCAGTTTAGGTTTTTAGAGATAGCGTGTGAAGCATATCCAGATATATAAGTCTTAGTACTATCCTCTATGTCACAATTGGCTAAGTAATTTGTCTCAAATACTTCATTGAATATATCCAAAACTTCAGGATTTTGTTTGGTATCCAAGAAATCAAAATTTTCTTGAGTTTCTAAGCAGTTTTGGAACCTTGTTTTAATTTCTGCTAAAGAAAATGACGATTTCTTTTCATTGAAAATATGCTTCAGCCGTATTTTCTTTTCAGCATTTAAAATTTCATCATATGACACATTGTAATTGCAGCCACATAAAAGTCTATAATTGCCAAATCGTTTTTCTAAATTATCAGTGGTGAATTTTCCAGGCAATACTTACTCAATGTCAAATTGATTAAATGAATATTCAATTATATTAAGTAGAGTCAGCGTGCTTTGAGATAGAGCTGTATACATTTCTGGTGTCAGGTGTCCATTATTATTCTCTAGATTATGCCATTTTTCTAACCATATCAGGAATTTTTTAAAAGTTGTACTCTATAATCATATTTATTGGTAATAGGCTTACAAAATTCGTTTCGCTTCAATTCTCCTTTTATTACACTTGTATTACTGACAATATCCCACCAATTCCTGATTATTTCCAAAAAGTGTGCAGCATCATTAAACTTTAATTCTTTCATAGCAGCTATTGTTGAGTGATGGAATAAATTATCTATTATTTACATTTTGCCTTTCAAATGAATTTGGATGCAATGTTTTATAATTTAATTTATATGCTTTCTTAACTACAGCTTCTTTTTCCAATTGATATACAGCACGAATGTTTTCAAATTTAGCATACTGAATGATATCATTATTGTCAAAATTAGGATATACAAAAGTTTTGTCTAGGTTTTTTAAATTAATCCAATTATTTCTGATACTCTTGAAAATATGCACAACATCATAAGTTAAATATATGTTCTTATCAGGATTATGTGGATTTGGAATAGAATAATTTTCTGATGAATCATTTGCTAATTTCCTGAACATTGCTCTATTAATTCGGTGATTATCAGTAACAACACAAATAACTTCAAATCCACATTTTTGAACTAAATTTATCACATGTTCAACCAAAGGTGTCATTTCATCACCTGTTAGATTTGAAACTGTTAGTAATTTGATAATTTCTGTTATGTTTCCAAATGCTGAAGATAGCATGAAGGCTACAACAGTTTTAGCCATGTCATTTTTATTTGAAATTTGAAAAATACAACCAGAATTTGCACGTTTTCAATAGTTGAAATCCTTAGCGTCCTGAGGCGCGAACAGCCACAGTCACACTTCTTAGCTTATTTTTAAAGCACAGAAGCACTACAACTGGAGTCTATTTCTCATATATTATAGTCACCGATCACTTTGAACACATACACACACTTTGAAGCTTAGAAAAGAAGCTTATCTCTTAATTACAGCCTCTGCGATTCCAAAATCACAAATTGAAAAGGTTATGTTTTCTCAGCGTTTTGAGCGGCGGGAGTAACACTACCACCTACGTTGCCAGATTTCTTTGTTCACGGCTCGTAGTTGACGTCGGCTGTGCTACAAGTCTATACTTCCTCTAGTAGAATAATTATGGCACCCATTGTTCAATACAATAAAATTTTCTAAGTGATTTGGTACAAGATGATTTTTTAATTTGAATATGAAAATGAAAACCAAGTAGGCTATGATTTTTTTTATATTTAACCATTGTAGTTCTTTCAGCATACAATTTATTATAGTATATTTATTTTTATTTAAAATTCTCACAGCTTTATTTTGTAATATTTGCAAGTTTCATTTGCACTGAACAAAATAGTCGAACAATGTAACAAATGTAAAAATTAAAATCATACTTTTCTCAAAAAAACTGAGTACACTTGTGAGATAAAATTACTGGATCTATGCTCGTCGTAAAAAAATCGGTTATCTAATTCGAGATGATTTCTTGACGCTTCTTGACGAAATACCTCAAAATTCATTTCCGACAGTTGGCTTGGTAATGAATGCTTTCTATAAATCAAAAGTATTTTTCGAAAGACACTAAATTATTAACTTTAGTCTAATCATATTAGACGAAAATACCCCTGGCTTGCGAAGTAATTGTTAAGTCGGGATTTATTGCTGCAAGTTGTCCAAGGGGGTATTCAAAACATGGACGCGTAAAATGGGTATACCAATTTTTGTGGGAAAGCTTTTTATTCGACAACAAAGAATGAGAAATCGTGCTTTTTGGGATTCATTCGAAAGTGTTGGCAGGAACGAAAAAACTCTTCATATAAGATTTTTAGGTATTTATGAGACTTACAAAATGAGACCACAGGTAAAAAGATCCGACTAATAGCAGAAATGTTATGGCCGAAAACCGAGGCAAACTGCTGGCTTTGGCACTTAATGCGACGATAGTTTCTCACACATACTTGAAATTCTTCAAATTCGTAGGATTCGTACTTCTAAATAACCAAAACAAAATTGGAGTAGATTGGTCAAGAAGTTTTTGAGAATTTCTAATTGTTTATCCCAAAAAACCTGTTTTCCGGCCATCACTACTAGTTTATTGAGGAATATACAGGGTATGTTCAAACGGCATTTTATAGCAAAATACACTAGTTTACCTTGCCGATATGAATCGGAATCCATTCCGGAAGATAAATGTTATTTATATGCAAAAAAGGATTTTTGACCTTTTTTCTAAACAAATTCAAACACATCCGCCTTGTTTCAAAATGTGTATAGTAACGTATGTTTTTCGAATATCGAAGCGCATTTGTTCAATTACTCACAAATACGAAATGTTTGAATTTGTTTTGAAGAATAAAACGTAACCTTTGTTTATCGCATACAAGTAACATATATCTTTAGGAATGGTTTATTATTGATATCGGCAAGATAAGCACGTGTATTTTGCTATTAATTGCTCTTTGAACCAACCCGGTATATTGCTCAATAAACTAGTAGGGCTGGTTGTAAAACAGGCGTTTTGGGATAAACAATTAGAAATTCTGAAAAAACTACTTGACCAATATAATCCAATTTTGTTGTTGTTATTTAGAAGTATGAATCCTACGGATTTGAAGAATTTCAAGTAGTTGCGTGAAATTATCGTCGCATTACCAAGTGCCAAATCCTGCATTTTGCCTCGTTTTTCGGCCATAACTTCTTTACTATTAGACGGATCTTTTTACGTGTGGTCTCATTTGGTAGGTCTCATAAATATCTAAAAATCCAATATGAAAAATTTTTTCGTTCCTGTCAACACTTTCGATTGAATCCCAAAAAACACGTTTTCTCATTCTTTGTTGTCAAATATAAAGTTTTCCCACAAAAATTTGTCTACCCATTTTATGCGTCCATGTTTTAACTACCCCCTTGAACAATTTGCACCAATAAAACTAGACTTTACAATTATTTCGGGGAAATTTGCTAATATGATTAGACTACTTGGCAAAAACGGAAAAGATATTTTTTCCATACAGTGGTGGCGATCATAAAAAAATGATCCGTGTCCCCTGGTAGGTAGATATTCGGATTTTGATGAAAATGTGGTAACTATAGACTACTTCTACTAGATAGATAAAGAATTACAATTTTTGTGAATAGGTTCAGTGGCGGCGAAACATATTAGTAACGCCTAATATAGATTACGCATTATTTTTTGTTAATTCATAAACTATGCATTTTTAAATAAATATTTCTTTCTACATTTGTTGTATTTTAATTTTAAATGTATTTTAAACTTTTTGGTACAATGGTATCTATTTTTTAAAAGTATTCAATTTACCCGATCCTTATGCGAAATACTCTTATGTACTTCTTACTATTCAAATGTTCAATCTATGAACAGTAGCTAATTGAGCTGTGCTATTCACGAAATTGTGACTTCTGAGAATGCGACACTTCCAAAGATGGCGCCTTATCGAACCCTTGCTATTGGGTAGACGAGCAGTTAAATGCGATACTTGTACTGTTGTTATATTTGCTTCATGAATGGCCAGGTTTACACCGTGGATAGCTAACCTCAGGACCCTGCTGTTCGTCGTGCTAACACCGCAGCGTTTCAAGCAGCTCCAGCCCATTTAAACTGCGCGCAGCTATAGAAAATATTTGAAATTATCAACAATTTCTTTTTTCTGCAGGTGGGTAGTGAAGAAGGTGCCGCGTATAGCGCGTGCAGGCATGGTGCTAAGGCGGGCATCACAGACACATATGACGGTCACCAAGCGCCTATCACAGGCATCAGCGTCAACAGCGTGCAGGGAGGCATTGACTTTTCGCACATGTTCCTCACATCATCCATAGACTGGACTATCAAATTGTGGAGTCTTAAGGTCAGTATATTTGTTGACGGTTCAAATAAATAATACTAAAGCCCAGTTTTCCAATCGCAGGGTAACTGTACCTTTACTGCTAATACTATGAAAAAGTGTGCTTCATCGTCAGGTTTGTCCTAGAACAGCGCCAGCGGTTAACTTTGGCTACAAAACTCTCAATAGATCAAAGAATCGATATTTGGTGTATCGTGGGAGCTGGACGTACCACCCCCTGGTCTTTCATTTTTTCAATCGCCTGCAGTCGCTTTCAGAAACGCTCCCAAAGTTTAACTCCCCCCCCCCCCTCCTCACTTCAAGTTTCAATTGTCAGCAACATAGTAAAATTATTCTTTTTTCCTTCCAAAATAATCATTCTTTTAATTTTTTAAGTGTTTCGCCCTGTGAACACCCTTCAAGACCCTATATAGGTCAAAAAGAAAATTGCAGTTAAACCGCTATGTCTAACCTGATAGGCCCAGATAGTATCGCTCACACGTTTGGTGTGATGCCGCCCTGGCTACATTGTTCATGCTAGATGCTGTCCAGAGGAGAGCTGTCCGACTGATCGATGACTCTTCTCTAACAGACAGTCTCGGGTCCCTTTCAAACCGGAGAAGTGTCGGCTACACCAATGATGCGCGATGTGCCTGCCAGACAGACCTGCCTGGCTTCGGCCTTCCATCCTAACAGTATAGAACTTCGTACATCTAGAACTGGCCGATATGATCGCTCATTTGTCCATAGGTTGTCGAGATCGAGAATCTACAAGAGACTTTTCCTAGTTCTTCCAACTGTAGGCAGTTCAAAACTCGGATTAACAAAGTTTCTTTGGGATCCTTATAGCAGCTGCGGTGACCTGGCGTTTAGGCTTCTGCCTGCGTGGCTGCTTCGGTGTAAAAGTTGTTATGGATAATACAGCACATAAAACTCACACAACACAATAGTTCAGACATAGAAGCAGCTTTGTCACATGCAACTTGAATAATGAAGGTACTGTCAACTGATAGTTAACTTTTAAATTATAGTTACCTAACTTGAAATTTAACCTGCTATTGAAAAATGGAACCTTGCAATCCACTTTTCAATTATAGCAAAAAGGTGCGAACTTAAGAAAAAACATGTAACCTCTCCGATCAAACTGACTATTGGATATTCCAAAGTGCTATTTGTAAAAATCCATGTTTGCCGTTCCAATTTTGGCCCAGAAAAGGTCGTTTTTCAGAATTTATATTTGGACACAATTCCAATATTTTATTTTTATTCCCACATTTTTGAATTGATGAAAAAATATAAATCAAGAACAAAGGTCTTGCGGATCGCTCCGACACACAGTGATGAAACGAAATATCTTACCCTTCACAATTCAAACAAAAATGCTTCGCACTAAAGCTGTGGCGTAATTTTATGACGTGACGTCCAGTTCATAGAAGGTGACCGTATTTTCGTCACGCAGGTTAGACATTTGGCAGATGCTGAGGCCGATAAAAGTCATCTAAATGTACAATATATTGTATTTCCCATGGGTATCCATTACGGTAGAATAACAGCGGATTATCTAGTAATAGTACAAAATTCCACATATCGACAAGTGGCACATAATTATAACGGATCCGTCAACGCTAGGTAGTCAGAGCCGTATTTCATTATGGTTTTTTGTACACTACAGATTCATTTTGTACATGCTAACAACTCTTTTTTATAGGAAAGTAACATTTGTAAACAAAAAAAAAGGTACAAACAAGTTACACTAGATTTACACCCAATTCATTATTGCCAACGTTAAAGACTAATATAAAGATGCACTTACTGATCAGTTGCTCATCTCAGTAGACATCAAAACGTGACGGATACTCGTGAAATAGGGTTAAGCGATTGTTGCCTATATTTGAGGTTATGTAGCATGGCTAATTTTTTTTTCAAAACCATTTGTACCATCTCAATCAAAGCCTTATTCTTTCAAATGCTGTTGAGTTTGTTTAAATATCATTTTCCTCCACTGAGATATGGTACCTTCAAATTATCATGTTTCTGAACATTAGTATACTTGATTCTCCACACGTTATGATTACGTGTGCATCTCAAAGTTGTAGTTTGGATTATAATACACAAAAAAAAAATAAGAACAAGTTAATGTATTTTTATGCCAACTAAAAAACCCATAAATCCTCAACACTAAATCCATAAAATAACTAAAACTTACCCAAACACAGGCCCTTTCAAGACCGAGTTCAGTATGTTTTGTTTTAAGCAACAGTACAATCGAGAATTAAAACGACAAGATTTGGGTACATAGGGCTTTTTGTTTGATTTGTTCGGTTTTATCGGAAAAAAGTAATATTCTTAATTCAAAAAAAAGTATGCAATCGAAAGTAAAAACGTTAAATTCGGCCCCGGGTGGTGGGTTGTGAACTTGTGGTTTGGGTAAGTTTTAGATATTTTTGGTCTTAGCGTTGAGGATTTATGGGTTTTTCAGTTGGCAGGTCTTGGTTAATAAAATACATGAACATGATATTAAATTTTTTTGTTACATAGGGCTTATGGTTTGGGTAAGTCTTGGATATTGTGAACTAGACTGGCTCAGAAGAAAGTAGTTCTTTTATTTAAAAAAGTGGCAGTCGAAAGTAAGAACGTTAAATTAGGCCTAGATAGGGTAGAGTGGATTGGGGGGCTGGTGGTGCAAGAATGTTTTGGATATTGTAAGATACATCGGTTCGGTTTTATCAGAAAAACATAGTTTTTCATTTAAAAAAGTGTGCGAGTCAAAGTTAAAACGTTTAGTTCGGTCTGGATACTGAAGGGTGGGTTGGGGGCTTGCGGTTACGCTAAGTTGGATATTGTGTGTTAGATTTCTCCGGGTACTATCAGAAAAAAGTATTTTTGTAATTTAAAAAAGTATGCAATCGAAAGTAAGAACGTTAAACTCGGCCCCGGGTGGAGGGTTGTGGTTTGGGTAAGTTTTAGATATTTTTTGGTTTTAGTGTTGACGATTTATGGGTTTTTCAGTTGGCAGGACTTGGTTAATAAACTACATTGACTTGTTATTAATTTTTTCTGTATTATTTGTGTTTTTTTTTTTTTTGAAAAAATCGCCATTCTACTAAACTTAATCTCAAATATAGACAAACATGTTTGCACCTTTAGTTTACGATATCTCGGTAACTTTGGAGAGATTTGGATCACGGATTTGGATTCAGGGCCTTAAGAACCTTCGAGGAAGTATATTCTGATTTCTGGGAAAAAATCTTGTCGGTCTGTATAATCTTTAATCGTCCGTTTGACGTGAAATGTATGGTCACGCTCTATTAGTTGATTCAACCGACAGGAAAATACAGATTTAATTGAGTTGTTTGAATGTAAGAATATTAAATATGTTTTTCCCAACACGAGGAAGTTCGTAATCCTTGAAAAATGAACAGTTTATAGCATCTATTGAAAATATGCATCATGACACAGCTTCTCAAACGCTTTCGTGATATCAGAAGCAACGACATAAGCCTCACCATAACACTGGATGAGTTTACTCCACAGTTGCGTGACGTAAGCTAGGAGGCCCCCGGTGGATCGCTGGTACTGGAAACCATACTGGCTGCCGCTAATGAAGCCGCGACATTCGAGGTACTCCAGAAGCTCCCTATTTATGCACCTCTCCATAATCTTGCTTATGACAGAAAGCTCAGCTGTAGGCCTGTAGTTGTAAGGGTCTGTCTTAGATCCCTTTTTTGGGATGGGTTAGATATGAGCAAATTTCCAGTTTTCTGGGAAGGTGCCAGATTCATAAGATATCTGGAAGAGATGCGAAAGAACTGGAGCAAGCTCCGCTGCACACCTCTTCAGTACAATGGCAGGAATCAAGTCCGGACCAGAAGCTTTGTTGACGTCGAGCGACAAGAGCACTCGTCTTACGGTCTTATGCCTGGACGTTACTTCCCACATAGTGTAGGGAACCCTTTGAATCGACGGCACTCGGGCAAGCGCTTCCGCAGTAGCCTTTGAGTCGGTCACAATCGCTTCACCCTTGCAGGTAAGTGGTGGAAGGCTACTATTTATGTTCCCTTCAGTCTGCTTGGCCGGCGTTCAGAAAAACTGACTGTCATTGCGCTGCGACATTACCCTTTGCCTAATTTTTACATCGTGCTGGCCTTTGGCATTGCAGTGAAATAACTTCTGTTTGTCATATTTTTCAGGACTCTAAGCCGATCTACTCGTTTGAGGACAACGGCGACTACGTCCTAGACGTGAAATGGTCTCCGACGCATCCTGCCCTATTCGCCAGTTGCGATGGCATGGGCCGGCTGGATCTATGGAACCTCAACCAAGACACTGAGGTGCCAGCAGCGGGTGTCACCATAGCCTCGGAAGGGGGTAGCGCGGCGCTCAACAAGCTCGCGTGGACGCAGAACGGGTTGCAGATTGCTGTTGGAGATACGCAGGGGAGGATTTGGATATACGATGTTGCTGAGGTAAGTTAGGGATTCATTCAACTATTGGGCTTTCGAGATGTTACCATAGTTTGGATAATATTTGGCTTGCAAACTGTCAAAGTTATGCAAACAACAACAATTTTGGGCGAAAACATGAAGTAATGCCGATTATAGCGGAGGTTGGGGTAGTGGGGTTAGAAAAAAATTTGAATCATAAACTGGCAATTCTCTTTTGAGGCTAAATGCGTAGGGCTCCAAAGGCTAATCAGCTAGGTGTCATCTTATAGGTATTATGAATAACTTTTTTTCGTGAAGTTATAAATTACAATTTTAGCAGGTGATTTTTTCCTTTTTATGGAAACAGAAGTTATTTGTAAAATCTGTAGGTAGGTTTTAGGGTCCTACGCGTGATATTACGTGATTTAGCCTACCGTCAAAAAGTAATTGTCAGTTTAATAACCTTATTACAATGGGAACGCCATCTTAATAACTCAGAGTCTTTTTCTCAAGTATCCATTATAGTCTAATCATACTACTCAAAAATACCCCTGGTTTGCGAAATAATTGTAAAGTCTGGTTTTATCGATTCAAGTTATTCAAGGGGGTATTTAAAACATCGGCGCATAAAATGGGTGCACCAATTTTTGTGGGAAAACTCTTTATTCGACAACAAAGAATGAAAATACCAGTTTTTTGGGATTCAGGAACGAAAAAACTCGTCTAATAAGATATTTATGTATTTATGAATGAGACCTCACGTAAAAATATACCACTAATGGTAAAAGATTTATGGCCGAAAACCGAGGCAAAATGGAGGTTTTGGCACTCGTTGCCAATGCGACGATAATTTCACGCAGCTGCTTGAAATTCTTCGAATCGACAGGCTTCACACTTCTCAATAACCACAACAAAATTCGATTGGTCAAGTAGTTTTTGAGAATTTCTAATTGTTTTTCCCAGAACACCTGTCTTCGGACCATCACTACTAGTTTACTGAGCAATCTACAGGGTTCGTTCAAAGGGCATTTTATAGCAAAATACACGAATTTACCTTGCCGACGTGAATCACAACCCATTCCGAAAGATAATTGTCATTTTTATGCGAAAAACGAAGGGTTGCGTTTTTTTTCTTCTAAACAAATTCAAACATTTCGTATATCTGAGTAACTGAACAGATTCGATATTCGAAAAACATACGTTATTAAGCACATTTCAAAACAAAGCGGATGTGTCTATCACCTTTTGTTACGAGGAAAACATTTTTTCAAGATTTCTTCATACTCTTGCGTATTTAGAGCTGAAATTTTTACACGGTGACATATGAGCCCTAAAATTTATAAAAAAAATATACCACACTGAAATGCGCTGAACTCTTTGTAACGTTAGCACGCAAACTGAAGACACAATTATGTTTCAAACTGTCTTAGACTAGTTAGTAGAATGTGCTAAATTGCTGCATTATTGATGAATGATGAATTACGTATCTCACGTAATACAGTTTCTTTACGAAGAAATATAATTCCCTAGACTTTTTTTCTAAATATATCAATATAGTATACGTCTGTTTCGAAATCTCGTTCGATTAAAATGACTGCAAGTTCAAAATATTGGAACATAAACTCGAGAATATGAAAAAACAGACATATCAAACAATTGTGTATTAAACATTAGGCAAAATGCTCGTTATTAGTCGCTAATACATTATTTAAAGATTCAGCTTTGTATCTTGTATGGTTTTCAAGAGTACTGTAATTGTTTATATCAGATTTGATACGCCCCAACGATCGCTTGTCATTTGTCAGTGTCAAGAATAGTGGTATAAGGATTCAGTAAAGGAAGAGGCGTCATAGAGTAATGGGAATGATTGAGGATTGCAGAACCGCAACATGGACGTTCAAATCCACAAAGCTTCTTTTTTCTCTATTATTTTTTTTACTAAATTTCTAGAAATAAATGCTTTTTCACATTATGTGTACTTTTAGTGCGATCAAACCGTTTTTCGCACGCCATAGACAATGTAAGTTTGCTAACAGGAAACCAGGGGTATACGTATGATAGTTTATGATTTTTTTTATTTTACTATGATCAAATTTCATAAACATCGTGTCGGATCGTAGCAGATAATTTTTGAAGATAAATATCCTAGAAGTGTAAATTATTAACCAACAATAATGAAAGACTTCCGAAATTTTGTTTGTGATAATACGCTCAAGTTTTCGAACGCGGTCAAATTAGGTACAGCTTGGAGCCGCAGAGGATTCTTATAAAATTAAGTAAGCTAACCCACAGTTTTTGTATTTACCAAGTTACTATTGAGCGTAGATGCTCATTTCATCAACAGCGTAAACTTTTTTGCATAGTTTGTATTTTTGTATTATGGCAGCATAACTCAAAGGTAATCTCCCTTTTCGGGAGTGATGGGAAAGCGGATGCCCTAACGCAACGTGAAAATTAAATATACAAAAAATCTGGAATTAAGCAATTTCAATTATATCTGAAAGTGTGGCATAATTCTTTTTTTGCATCTAAAATTTTTATTGTTGGGCATACAATGAAACTATATGAAATATTAATTGACATTTTGTATTTATTAACCACAGCAATCATAATGCTGCTTATTTTTTTGTATTGTCATCTGTACATCTGTAAATTGTGTTTCACCTCTAACTTGAGGTAATGAACTTGTAGTGCATTAAACAAGCTGTCAATAGCGAAAGGTGAATAGAGACACTATACCGATAATTCTCAGATAATATACAGTGCATCACAAAAGTTATGTCTAAATTCATTTAAAACTCAGGGGTGTGTATCGAAAAAAAAAACGCTTGGACCCGTCGATTTTTATTTCAAGTTGCGCATTTTTGTACGTGAAGTTTGTATATACAGGGTTGCTCAAAAATAAATTACGACCATCAACTTCATTTTTTCAAATGAAAGCACCTTTTTTTCTATTTCATTTTTGAATTTCGCGTTTAATTCTACACTTTTAATTGAATCCCAAAAATACGTTTTCTCATTATTTGCTGTAGAATAAAAAGTTTTCTCACAAAAATTGGTGTACCCATTTTATGCGTCCATGTTTTAAATACCCCCTTAAACAACTTACATCAATAAAACCCGACTTTAGAATTATTTCGGGGAAATTTGCTAATATGATTAGACTATTACGTGAAATGTAACAGCAAGCAACAGCTGATTATTTAGTTACATTTTTAAAATATCTCATATCGACAAGTGATACAGAGCTCTGCCGGATCTGTCAACGCTAGATCTGTAGCAAAGCAAAGAATGATTGTGACTATATTTCACCCGATTCATTATGGCCAACTTTAATACAGAGAGGTCATTTGCTGATCAGCAGTTTACCTCAGTACTTGTCAAATGTAATGGATACTTGTGAAAAAGACCATATTGATAACACAACGCAAATTAATGGTTATGTTTGTGTCTTTTTTTCACGAATACCTCAAACATGCGAGCAAATAACAGCTAGTTTTCTAATAAAATTTCAAAATATCCCACATCAACAAGTGACACAATTCTGGCAGATCTTTCAATGCTAGATCTGACTAATTTTGTTGCGGTTTTTTGTATGCTCATCCTAACAACACTTTAATTTAGAAAAGCACTTTTGAACAGAATGAAACACGATACAAGCAAAATGACTGCTAATGATCATGCCTAAATTTCAAGACACTTAGGAATACAAGTTAAACAGTTTTTGACTATGTTTGGATATATACAGTTCTGAATACAATCCCGATTCATTATTGCTAACACTACAAGCCTTTAATAAAAAGATGTCACTTGCTGATCAGCTGTTCACCTCAGTAGACGTCAAGACGTGTTCGATGAGAGAGACCATAGAAATCATGAAATCTGTATTAGAAGTTGAGATACAGGTGCGTGAAGTGACGCAATTACACAATATTTACCTTAATATTTCAATACATTCTGACGTCTATTTCAGTGCCCTTTTATGTTCATTTTATTAACAGTATAACAGTATCATTGAATAACGTACTCTAACATTCATTTGTTGGAGAACACTTCAGGAAGTTTTGGGAAAACCATATGATCTTAGACTTTGTACATCACATTTGTAATTCTTTGATTTATAAAGGATTTGTGTCCTACACTTAGAACTAATAGTTACCAGTTGAGTTATTCAATACTCGGGTACTCCATAAAATGGGCCGAGTACAGTGTACAAACCGAGTACTCGGTGCATCCTTAATGTTAAGCATTAAAGATTGAAATATGTAGCTTCGTATAAGATTGTCTACTCATCAAATTACTAGTTTCCAAGTTATTTTAAAAGATCAGTTTTCCTATCGCGATAGTGCACCACATGGCTTTTAAGGATTGGTTAATATAATTTGGCAGGTCTAAGCGGAAGGACCGACACTTTGAAAATATCTTAGTCGAATTGCTCTTATCAGTTTTGGCAAAACTCTAAATTTTCGTTATACTCTAACGCCAACTTTTCAAGTAATCGATCGATGCAGATCATCGTGGGCCACCCTGTAACGATTAGTAGATTCTAAATGGCGTCGCTAGGAGGTGGTATGAAACGAACTCTTGTGACTTAGAATATCAGTTGTTATTTGTTGTCAAGTTTGCACCTGTTGAACTATCGTGAAAATAGTGTAGCAAAGTCCAAACAAGAGTTATACAATTTCACGATAAAGACGATGAACCAATATGTGCAGTTTTATAAAAAATCAATCCAATCTCAATATGACATGTTATTCTTTATTTCTTTCCAGGCGTTTGCACATCCGAGGCACGACGAATGGGGAAACTTCCTTTACACAACACAGGAACTAAGGAATAATCAAGTAAACGATGAACTGGAAAAACTAAATTATTCTGCTAATTCTTCACTTTCAAGTATGAGTTCGCTTAGCTCTACTCCTTTACGATAAATTTCATGTTTTATTATCGGTAGGTTTTTTGACAGACAGAAGATCAGCATTGACGCCATTATAGAACAATTATTGCGCGTTATAGTACAGTGTGAGGTACCAACTAATAGTGCATTGTCAAGTATAAAGATGTTACTCATATTTAGGTGATCATCTAAAATGCAAACGTCACCATATTGTAGTGTAGTGAATTTCACCATTTCTTGTTCTAAGTGAGATGTTTGAAATGTGTCCACTACCAATTCTTGCATACTCAGAAAAAATAGAAAATGGGAATACGGACGTGATGCAAGGAGGAAACGTTCAAAGAATATGAAAAGAGATGGGTAGCATATCAGTTGATAGATATGCTGCAAATTACAAAGGACATTGTAAGTCCTGTATCAATAAGATTATATTGTTATAGGGCTCTATTCTGTAACATTCTTTGAGAATTTCTTATCTAGGCCAAAATAACAAACGCCTGTTTCATTCCAAAGAAGTCCGTTTTGTTTGCAAATGCTGCATTGAACGGCTTAAAACGTATTGAATATTTTATATGTTTTGAGTGACACTATTATACAATACACAAATATCTATAAAAAATATGTAACATAAAAGAGCATTTTTTAAAACCATTGATTTGCTGTCTGTCAAATGTGATTTATATTGTTAAGGGCAAATGATTTGCTTAAATATACGTACATTATTAATGAATTAATAGAACAAAAGAATAACATAAACAACATATGCTGTAACACAAAGTGTCATAATATACTGTATTGCTAATATCAACTATAACAAATAGCTTCTTAGTCAGAAAACTTGCTCTGTGAATTTTTTGACTTAAGTTCAAACAACTATTTAAATTTGAAATGTACACCAGTAAATCTGTGATTCTAACGCAATGTTTGATGTCATTGCAAACCATCTGTTGCTGTCATGACAAACATTTTTGTTTATGCTGCGATTTCAACTCTTATAAGCTTGAAAATAATTTTCGTTTTACCTCTTTTTATTTCAGTTTATATTTGTTCTCCTGTCATGTGTTGCAACATTTTTTTCTGTTGTACTAGTATTGTAAAAACTCACCAAACCCATTATGAATGGAATTTTAAAGTATGTTACTTAAAAGTTCTTGTGTTTAAAACTACCCACTCGTTTTATATAGCTGTAAATAATTTTGCTAATTTATTGTATGTTGATTTTTTATACATTTTTGTTGTAGCTTATTTCTCTAGAAATGGTATTGTTTGCGATTTTAAATCGTCCTTATTTATTTCTAAATTTTTTTGAATTCCATGTGTACTCTATACACGATATTTTGCAAATTAAGATTTTTAGAAAAAAATATTGTACATATAAGGAATACAATGATTTATTATTGAAAATATAAAAGATATATGTATCGTTTTTGTTATTTTTGAACACCCAATTACCTTCGCAACAATAAATGTTTATATGGTCACTCCATATGAAAAAAATGTAACAGCTGAAATAGATTATTTACATCCATTTTTTCCAGGATAATGGAGCTTATAATCTTTTTTTTGTACCTGTTTGAAATTCTTACATCAAAGAATTCATTTAAATCCTCTTGTGTTTCTCACCAATAGGAGTTGATTTTTATTCCAGGTACCGATAGAACGTGACTATACCGGGACATTGTATCTTAACTTTGGCGTAAATTTTTACGTTTCAGCTTCAAAGAGAAAGCTTTGCTTCTTCTTGATCATAGAAAAAAGGGAGATTACACTCAATATATTATTTGATATTGCCAAAGTGATATCCTGCCAAAACAAGTATTTTGAAAAATACCCCATTCCAACAATACACGCTCATAGTTTTTCCAGTTAGATCCTACATTGTACCCACTTAGTTACCTGTCTGGGCCAAAGCACAATTTGGCAGCCAGTGAATACTCAGGGGAAAAAACTTGACATTTTCATGGAGCTGTTTACACACTAGCAATATAATTATGTACTCTGAAGAATGGCAACTACCTCGAATAGTCCCATACAGTAGGTTACTATTATGCTAAAGATAAGAGCCTCATTTTTTATAGAATCAGTCTAGTTGCAGCAAAGTAATCATCAAAACAAAATAACCTGCCACTCGATTACTCAGAAAGCACAATTCTAATTTTAGTACATGGTATTTCTCAAGGGCAAAAAAGCTTTATCAATTTCCTGTCATGTGATGGCAAAATTAAGACTGACAAACAAATTCATAATGCCTACATTTTTTGAGAGATTAAAATATTTTTTTTTGGAGAAGAAATTAGTCGAGATAAAAACCAAACATATCCTTGGTCCTTTTTCATGTTTCTGTTTAATTTAGAACATGGTCCAAAAACTTACGGGTCTGTTCAAATACTATTAACGTTTTACTTTTTTTACTCCATTTTTGTTATATTTTCATGAAATAATGACTAGTCTTGAAAAGTTATTTATTAAACATAGGGGTTCCAATTGCTATTATCCTCTGGGGTGAGATTATTCAGTACCAGCAAAACAATATCTACAAGCCACCATATACCAAGTCCACCTAGAGTTAAAAGTTTGCCTACAGCAGTTCCTGTTTGACCAAGGCAAAATCTATCCATACCTACAAAAAATTAATGCAGTAGTGACATTGTTAAAATGAATCAATTATTTGTTTATGCTAGATATGAGAATGTCAATTTTTAAAAAAGTGAAGCTTAAGTCTTATTGAAGTACATTGTTGTATAGTATTCTGATCTTATATTTTTGAGTTTGTTCATTACTTAGTTTCTCAAATATCTGTAATCCTGTTATTTACCAAGGAAACCTAAAAGGATGCTGTATAATAAAGTTGTGGTAAAGTATTGATTGGAATACTTAATACATGGAACTCCATCTTTAAGAAATGTTCTATTTCCAAAACATTCTATATCTTGAAGCACCTGGCAGACAATTTTTGTTTTTTCCACATCTTCATATTTCATTCCACCAAACTAAAAATGGAGTACTTTAGTTTACAAAAATGAATTATATAACTCTGAGTAATTCATTATTTTTTCAGTTTACTTTTGAAATCTTGGTTTGCAATGACTATGATGAAATGCTAAAGGAAATGCTTTCATTATTATTATTGAACAGGTATTAAGTGTTGTATGTATAATAATGATAATTATTATTATTATCATTATTTTATTTATTTATTAGAGTATATACAAACATAAATACAAAACATAATACCCCAAAAGACTGGGGGTTGGCAATGCCATTTTCACCTCAGTCTACTAAATTACAGATGTGAAACTAATTAACATATTATGGGTAACAATGTTGAGTATAGGAGCCCCTTCCCAGTTCAGTTGGCCCAACTATTGAAATCTTAGTTTTTTTCTTATCAAACACAAATAATAAAAATGTAGCACGGTGTTATAGGTTTAAAATAATAACAATGAATATTTTGATAATATATAGTAGAAAACAGCAACTTTATCACTCCTTAATCAAATTTGCAGCATAAAAATAACACATGTTGCAATTACAGCATATCTACCTATTTTTATTTCAATGCAAAATAAGTCTATAACACATAGGTGGCTATGAAAAATAAAAGCCATGACAATTGTTTTTATTAATCACAGCTGTCAGAATACGTTTAAAATAGTTTTGGGTAGTTAAGGTTTTCAAAATGGGTACAGGAAAGGTTATTAGTGAGAAAATTCGGTTACTGATAATTAAGTTTTTTGATTCTGGGAAATCAAACTCAGAAATTGCAGCTTTGTTAGACTTATTGCGGTACAGTGTGAGAAATATTGTTAGAAGATATAACGTAACTGGTCCAATTAATATTAAGCCACGATATGTGAAAAAAAGTAATATCACAAATGCCGACCGAAGAGCATTAAGAAGAATAATCGTGAAAAACAGGCGTGCCAATTATTCACAATTAAGTGCTCTGTAGAGTGACGCTGTTGGAAGGAGAATTTTGAGGTCCACAACTCATAGAGAGGCCCACAAACTAGGATTTAACACTTGCAAGGTAAGTTTTCTTATAAAAAAAAGTGAAGAAAAACCCTAAAGTTGCACAACTTGTTTATAGGCCAAAGAAAAGCCACTATTAATTCCACTGCAAAAGAAAAATCGGCTTAGATGGGCTAAAGAACATAGACAATGGACACCTCAAAAATGGTGTGCAATACAATGGAGTGATGAGGCCCGATTCGAAGTTTGTGTTGGTGACAGTCGCAGTAGAGTTATTCGCCAAAAAAATGAAGCATTCCATATTGACTGTCTGAAGGGAAAAGTGAAATATCCAGCATCCATTATGGTCTGGGGCAGTATGTCATCAAAAGGAGTAGGAAAACTTCATTTTATTGATGGAAATGTGGATACAAACAAATATTTGGCAAGTGATGGAAGAATGTTTGACATCCGGCCAAGATTTTGTGTTTCAGCAAGATGGTGCAGCGTGCCATACCTCAAAAAGGCTATAAAATGGATTGAAGAAAATAATGTACCACTTTTGAAATCGGTTTCTAGCAGTCCAGATCTGTCACCTATTGAAACTTTGTGGCACGAGATGAAAAAGGTTCTACGACAACATCCTGCTCATACAATCACCAAACTGAGACAAAAGCTTCAAGAAATATGGGATTGTTTTACACCAAACTTGGTTAACACTATGCCCCAAAGAATTTCAGCCATAATAAAAAATAAAGGTGATGTTACCCAATGGTAATCTTTCAATTGTTGCTTTGTTAACTTCGCGCATTTATTCGCACATTGTTTATTTGTTCAGATGTTCTATTAGTTATAGGTCTAAGTGATTTCAAATATGTATTTTTACGACTAGAGTGTATCTAAAATGTTTTTGAGAAAATAAATTGTTTTAGAAGTAAATAGTTTTGTCATGTTTAGTTTATAAAGGCATATTTTGGTACAAATCTTGAAGTGGGCCAACTGAAGTGGGAAGGGGCTCGTACAAGTTTTATAAAAACCATAACAGGAATAATTTATTTTTAAGAGTGTGCATTTAAGTTGTCGTGGCTTTGATGAACTGCAATTGCAATAGCATTTTTTTAAATTCACTTTTAAAATATAGATAGAAAATGCTTTGAAAAATGTGGAATAATCATTAAGAATGGATGGTGTCATGTTAAGGAAATTTCACTAAACAAATACCTAGGGGATTTATATTTAAGTATTTTGTAAAGCAAAGTTGCATAAAAAAGGAATGATCGATATGGGGATTTTAAAACCTTTCCTCTGATATAATATCTAGTAATGTGCTCTTGTCTCTGTATATCGCTGTGACAAAACCTCATACGACAATTTTGAAGAATTTACATTTTCTGCTTTATTATAAAAAACCATAATTCCATAATCTAGATGTGTTAGAATTAGTGAATTAACAAGTCTTCAATATCATTTGGCAATAAAATCTCCAGCGATTTATATTTAAAATAACATACTTGAAATTTACTTAGAACATGACCCTCAAAGCATAAATTCATATCTAACATTATTCCTAAATTTTTGATTTCATCCACAATTTCAATAATGGTTCCATCTAATAACTATATCATTCATGCATTTAATTGCTTGTTTAGAACCTAGAACTAATGCAACAAACTTTAGTTTTGTAGGGGTTAAGTCATAAGCAGTAATTTCTTGAATAATTTTCGATAATCCCTAAATTCATATTGAGGTCTATTATCAGGGAAGTTATGTTATTTGGGCTACATGCTTGATAAATTTGGATGTCATCCGCATAGAAATGTATACTCCAATCAGATGTTAAACAATCTATCAATTCAGGAGTGTATGGTTAAAGTTAATTATCACCCCACTCACCTTCAGACACCCATACCCTAATTCTTCTTTTGCAGTTTTGTTGCCTTTATGATCAACAGGCTCTTGGCAGTCAATAAACTGCCACGAAAGAAAATTGCATCTCACAAGAGGCCCTAACGGGTCAAAAATCAGAGATTCTTTAGAGTTGCTATGTCCATTCACATTGCCAGTCTGCAAAGGAACTATCAATAACAGCAATGCTGCTACAGATAGCATGTTGGTATTCTTATTTCATGTTTGATAGTTTGCTCCAAATATTTCTACACGTGTAATTCTACGGATGTATTGTAAATTCCAAATTCTGACGGGATAGTAAAAACGATTGAATTTGCTTATATATATGTCAAATGTCAAAAGTGCCTTGTTTACATTAGTTTTTGGGTTAGGTTGCGGTAATTCTTATAATAACTTACAGTAGATGTCGCTTTGATTCAGTTATACGCCATCTATTCGGTACTAATTATATTACACTTTAACCGTTTAGGGATAATGTAAGTTCTTGACGTATACAGATTTCAATAGGTCAATACCGATTGCAGTAATGTTTGTGCCAATCCCAGCAGATGGGGCAGAATGTAGGTTCCAGATGGCGCTGACTTGTCATGACATGTCATCAACTGTCAGTGATGTGGCCCAAAGAGAAACGAATTGTCAAATTATGAAAAAATGTTTGGTTTTAAGTTCTTATATTTTATTATACTTACCTTAAACCTAAATAAAAGCAATGGCCAGATCTCGGACAAGCGTCTGTGTGTGGACGAAAAATGCCAAGGTAAAATTAAGCCCAGAAACTGATTCTAACCTTACAACTCCAACATATTTTACTTATTTTTTATACATTCCAGAGCCTGTTTCACTCGCTAGGACCCTTTTAACTTATTCGAGCCCCGATTCCAGAATACTGTCGTTTCCCGTAAATGCAGAAGTGAAAATCTTTAGTAAAGAAGCTGGTTCAAGAGCAGATCTATGGGGGGCTGAAATCAATGGAAAACGGGGCTATGTCCCCAAGAAATACGTTAGAGAATTAAAAATGTATAATGTACCCACTCTACTAGTGGACACTGACTTTAAGGACAGCTCTGAAGTGCCTTCAGTCAAACTTATGGTCCAACCAGATAGTGTCAAACAACCATATGAAGTAATTGTAGGAACCACAGTGTACAAGGTGGAAACTATGGATCACAGTACCAGTGGAACCCCTTCTTTAACAGAAGAACCAGTAAGTGATGCTAAACTTGACAATGAACACAAAGAAGGTGGAGTTCAAGGGGTATTATCTTCTATAAAAAGTTGGGTATCTGAAGGAATAGAATCAGCAATGAAAGACAATGGTGAAGATGTTATGGATGAGGATGATGATGACTTTGAGATTGATGATGAAGATGAAGATACCGCTGTGGATAAGGTTATAACAAATTCAGAATTTAGTAAAAAGGAATCACAATCAGCAACTAATGATCTAAAAGAAAAATTTGAGAATCAAATGATACTAAAGGTACAAGATGATTCTATTAGAAGTTTGAAAGAAACGATTGAGAAACAAAAACTACCTGAGGTACCAGTTGATACCCAAATACTTGGTGAAGATATAAATCCTGAAATAATAGATTCTGAAGATAACGGAACCAAACTAGAGAAGAAAGAAAATAAACAGCCAGCACAATCTGATTATGTTCTTGATAGAAAAGAAGAACACACTGACAAACAAGAACAGATTGAGATAGCGAAAGCTACTAATGAGAATAAAGCTACAAAAAGTACTGATCAGTCAACTACAAGTCTTGTAAATGCCAATATGGAGGTCACTACCCCTTCATTTTTCTTAGACAGTATCGCACCTTCAAGCATATTTAAAGAAGCTGTTGCTCAAAACCCTTTAGAAAACTCCCAAGAATCCCAGGTGAGTAATATACCAGACAAAGATCATAAAAGTGCTGAGGTTCACTCAACATTAACTGACCAGGAATCTAAAAATGAAGGGGCCAATACAGTATTTCCAGATGAAATGAACACTAAGACTATAGAGAGTAAAGAAAAAATTGAGAAATCAAGTACTGAAGGGGAGACTACTCCTGGGAACGTGTCACCATCAATTGACAAATTAGAAAAATTGGGAGAAATTGAAAATAAGGAATTCACACTGGATCAGAATTTAAATAACAAAGTAGACAAATCCGGAGAAATCATACATCTTGTACAAATTGAACCAGAAACTAGTCAAGAGTCACAAGATACTGAAGAACCTCCACAATTATCACCTTTAGGTGGGCTTTTCATTGCTTTCAAATCTTCACACGATGTTGTGAAGGATCTTAATGATAACACTCTTGATTCTTCAGAGAGCAAACATGTAAATGAACCTAGTAACAGTTTTGGAAGTGACACTTCAGATATATCACATACCACTGAAGATACATATTCTCATGTAAACACAGATCAAACTGTTGGTAGTGGATTGAGTATTTTAGGCACAAGACATCTACTTTCAGATGATAAATCAAAACAAGGTAGTCAAGAAGTTTTGAGTGATAATAAATTGGCTGAAGAAAATAATGACATTGAAAGTAAAGATGCAGATACTTCTACAGTTAATAATGATGGAACTGATGTTATAAGTAGTAATAATTTATCTAGTAAAAATGAGAAAGAAACTGACAAAGAAAAGGATGATACTGAACAAAATATTCCTGGGATGCAAGAAAACATTAAAAAAGAAAATAAAAATGATCACATAACTGAAAATACCAAAATACCACATCAGGAAAAAGTAATGGATATAGGCAAAATGGGTGACAATAGAGTTGAACAAGAAATTCTAACTCTTCAAGATGAAGTAAAAGAAGATTCTGTAACAAAATCCAGAGATTCTTCAGAAAATCTGCCTGAAGAAAGTAGTGGATTTTTCGTTACCTTTATGTCATGGTTTGGTATGTGTGATTCTAAAACAGAAACTCAGTTAGAAACTTATAACCATCCTCAAAGTAAAGCAGAAGAAATTTTGGAAAATGCTTGTGAGAATCAACCACATAAAGATACCAACTTAGATCACTGTGATGCAAACTCATATTCTTACTTTAACTTCAATTCAGATATGTTTTTGTACTTGGTAACTTCAGCTATATCTTGCATTATGTTTTTGGTCATATATATGGCATTTGATAGAAGTAAGAAAGAAGCACCCCTTATAGCTAGAATAAACAAACTTGAGAAAGAATTATTAGTAGCTCTCAAAGAGAATGAGATGCTTCAAGATAAAAATGGAGCAACAGAAGTGCCTGAAGAGGTGATTGAAGAATTTAAGAATCAATTGTCTGAAATGCAGGCAACTAGAGATCATATAAAACTGCAAGTTATGGAGTTGGAAATGCAAATCAAAAAGAAAGATGAGCAAATTGAGAGTCTAGAAAAGGAGTTGGAAACATCCACAGAAGTTGGAATGGAACTCAATAGGATAATATCTGAGATGCTGGATCCTACCAATGGTAATGACAGGTAAGATTGGATAAGCTTATTGACATGAGGTAGTTTTAAAAAAATGATACTATATCTGAAATCATATCATATATGTATTACACATTTGTAAAAAAAATTTTCTGCTTAGGTTGAAAGAGAATTTTGACCAGTTACAACGGCAGCTCTTAGAGCAGAAGGATACCATAAGTACCATGACTCAATCATTGACTGCCAAAGTAGCAGATAATACTCGGTTGCAGACAGAGCTTGAAGCTTCTCAAAAAATTGCAGCTGATGCTCAGGAACAGCTAAACAAGCTGCTAGAAAAGATGATACAATTGGAGAAAGATAAAGACAGTCAGTGTAGCATGTTTCAAGGGGAAATGGGTGTTTTGCAAAGAAAGGTAGAGGAGAGTGTTAACAGAGAAGAGGAATTCACCAAGGAGATTCAGGTGAGAAATGGAGTCAAATAGATTATCTTACTGCTTGCTACATAATTGTGATATATCAGATCTGAGAAAGTTCGAAATTTGATTCCAGTATAATCATTTTTTATTATGATTTGATAATGTTCAGGTATTGGAGGATAAAAACAAAAAATTCCAGTTGAAGTTTTTAATTGAACTTAAAATGATTTAAATACAATGAAATTTGGGATGATCTGGTGTTTTTATTTTCCACACTAATTAACTTGGAAGTGAACAATTATGAAAATAGATATTATTTTTTTTAATTTCAGATTATGAGAAACTGTATTACTCATCTGTTTCAGTCTGTCTTTTGTTGGTATATCTGTCAGTTAAAGCTTGATCCCTCTATAACTTGGAAAGTACTATTGGGATTTTGATGAAACTTAGATAAGGATGAAAATGCTTTGTAATTTTTGAAAATCGATTCATTGGTGGCGGAGCTACAGGCAAAAAAAGCGCAAGAACAGACTGTAACTGACAAGCAGACTGGCAGAAATGAATAACAAGTAGTTTTGTAACCTGAATGGCATGAAATGTTCTCAAGATTGATCATTTTTATCACTAGTTTTTTCTATATTTTCTATCAATGCATCTCTATTATTTAAGGTACTCAAAGTCCAAATATCGGAAGTGCAGAGGCAATATGAACTAAAAGTTAAGGAATACTCGATGCTAAGAGAGAATGTAAACAACATAAAATCTTTGAAGCAAGGCCACAATCTCCAAATGTTGCTTGACTCGACTGAAGCTAGTGCGCAGTTAGAACAGCTGAAAACGGAAAATGAGAGGTTTTCAGTGCAACTACAGCAAGAACAGATATCTAAGGCAAATGCTGAACAGAAATGGAGGACAGCTTTGGAGGCCATTGGAGATTTGCAACGAAAATATGAGTTGGCTGATAAGGAAAAGACTGAGGTCAACATGAAGCTAGAGGTGTTGAATACTTATTTCAAGAAAAGAGAGACTGAATTACAAGAGTAAGTTTCAAGCATTAAATTTAAAATTTAAATTTAGTAGGCTAAATTTCATACAAAATTAAAGATAGTGTCAGACAGCATTTAGTACATAATTTTGTATGAACAAATTTAGTGCTCAATTTTGTAGAACCTGTTCTAAAGAATATTATAATAAAAGAGCGCAGACGACTACTGCGCATTTGGAGCATTACAATTGCTGATAGAAGCAGTATAGGACAAGGAATTTCATGTTTTGTGTTAACTCCTTGATGTTTTGTGATGATTAGATGAGATGATAAAGTCGCATATAATATAGTATATGCGAATTACGGGATCGCTCCAGTTTCTACAATTTTCTATTCGTTTAAGGTAATAAAGAATAAGGTAGCAAGCCGCAACGTAAAGTGTGGTTAGAATGACTGACGTGATAAATGGCAGTTAGAAGTTGACAGTTATAGTTTTTGCTACAAACTGCGCTTGATTTCGTACTAAATTTAGTACAAAAAATTCTTTATGTGTCAGACAGAGGTGTTTTCTAGTGCCTTGTTTGTGTTGTTCAGAGCTACCCACCACCTGTCAATACCGTTCCAGTGCTCTAGAGTGTCATACACCTGAGCTACTCATTTTTTAAATTCCCTGCCCCCTCATACACCGGCTTTTTATTCGGTGTTACACGCTCCGAAGTAGTGGAGATAACAAAAATGGCAATGTGTCAAGGTGGTTAGGTTATGCTTTTTTATCGTTCTTGGTTTTTTGCATTATACTCACATTAAACCGATAGCAGACAATGGAGGATGGTAAAAAATTGATAATGTTATGACCCAGAGTCACAATGTACATTTGAGATGTTCCTGAATAATAAAGATCACAAGAGAGTGCAACAAAGGAGGTTCATAGCGGCTTGTAGTTGGCTTCAATAAAAATGCAGATCTCTGATGAGTTGCGTCATAATTCTAAAAGCATCATCAGGCATCAATTGGATAGTATGATAATGCTTCTGAATATATAGGCAAAATGTGTTTACATTTTCATTGTTTGGCAGGGCTGTGTTCATAAATTGTTACAGAGTACTTTGTACTACTCTGTAACAATTTTAGCGTTCCTAATTATTTGACGTACCTGTTCCATGTTTTCGGAAATAGAACAAAGTAATGCTTCTGGAATGTAAAAAGTGCACTTTTCTTCCCGTGGTTAAAACCTTGGGAATAAGACTGTCGGCACTTGTCATTCTTATGGTTCATTGTTTGTTTATTTTGTCCGATTATCTAAAAGTACCCAAAATTGGCAGAATATATATTTTTCACGATAAATGGTCTATCTCCTATCCATAGCGTTTCTTGTAGTAGAAAAATGGTGACAGGAAACGTAATTAGAAATTAGTATGCCATCATCAAGTGTCGTTATAAGACTTTGCAATAATTTAGGCGTTCTAAAAATGAAGTTACACAGTATCCCAGAGTAAAATTTCATCTGTCATTCTACATTCCATTACTGTGTACGGTATTACAATATCGAGTGATTTACAACTGCACCCCAATGTGATACAAATTGTCAGCGTCAAAGCAAAACATCAAAAACAGCTTAGTTTTTTATCGTCGCGTTCCCGTGCGCATTTGCTAGGGAAGTTCGGGAGCGTTACACTCCGGGAACTCTCAATTCAAAAGCGCTGGAAAGTGGCTCAGGATTCTAATTGGTAAACAAATTGGGAACTAAATTCAGTAACAATTTTTTTCACGAAATTTGGTACCAAATTATGAACAAAATTTTGTATCGTGACGGACACGCACAATGAACACCTACTCTCCAGGGAATACTTCACTGATCGCACTTGACAGAAAATAGCATTGCTTAATTTACAATCTAAACTGATTACTTACGGCATTCAATCTGCAGGGATACCTTTCGTTCCATTCCGATGAACGCATCTATTGACAAGTCAGCTTACATTATTATTTTTATGTCAGTAATGATGCACTTTTTCACTTTGAATTTCACAATTGATTTCAGGGAAGTTATAAAATACAAGTCAATATTTGACGCTAAGAAAGGAGAGGCCACATCAACTACCGAACGAATAAAGTTGATGCAAGAAGAAATCGAGAATTACAAGTAAGTAACTATATGTACGTTATAAGTTTAGCACTGAACGATTATTGTGATTTAGATCTCAAAACGAGATGCTGAAGCAGGAGATTATATCCCAAGAAATCGATCTCAAAAGCCAAATATCTCTTCTGGAGAAGAAGGTTCATGAGAATTGGCTGATGGCTAGGCAGACAGAGAGGAAGTTAGAGGAGGCAAGGCAGGAAGCAGCACAACTGAGGAACAGACTGACGCTCAGGGAAATCGCTATTAACGAGGAGAGAATACAAAATAGTAAGTTTTGTTGCTGTTATCCATGTTATAGGATTACTGTATGCGCGGCTGTTGCTATGGACATTGCCCATTTACGATCGCTCCATCGTGCCTTGCTTGTCACTATCTTAATATAAAACTACAAGAAAGATGACACTCGAATCGTTCGAAGGACGGTATTTACAGCGCATACAGTATTATTTATGGTTTCCCATCACATAAAAAGACATGTTTATGTGAGAGATAGCAATTATTTTTAAATAAATTATTAAACTAAAGAATGTGTGATGTGCTTAATATTGCTATTGAAAATATCGATATTGTAGCTTACAGCGGCGTTGCCAAATCTAAGAATCTAGCTCATTCATACAGTAATTCGTAGAATGATGTGGAATCCTAAACACTTCTATATTGCGAGTTCGCATTTCATTAACAAGATTTTTTCATGCAAGGAACTTTGGGCAATCTATGACACCATTAACTATTTTAAACAGAAAACATAAATCGAAAACCTCTCTGCGGCGTTTCAAAGAGTCTACATTCAACATATTCACTAGTTCTGAAGGATTCTGAATCCGACGCATTCCAATAGCTGCCCACCTCAAAAACCAACTAAGCACTCCTTCAATATCACCAATCAAATTTGTCGACCATACCAATGTGTTGTACTCAAAATATTCCACATCAAAGAGCAGCATAAAATTCGAAAAACTTATACAGAGATTTTTCAAAGATCAAAAAATGTATCCCAATATTGTATATGATTTTTAGAAGTAATTTCTCTAAAATGTGTGTTCTAAAAGTTAATATTGTATCAAAAGTTATACCTAATCCCTAACTGTATCAGTTGTCATGAGGTCACTGTTTTCAACTTCATACATGAGAGAATTTGAACTATGGCTGAAGCTTATCTGGTAGCATTTACTCAAATTGACATTGATCTTATTAGTACTATGCGGATTTTTGAAATAAGACAGGTGACCCAAGTGTTTTCGACACAGAACAAAACTTAACTAGCGTGCTCCGTATTCCTACAGATTAGAATTTACTAGTCGGATTGTGTTTATATAGTCATCAACATTGCGAAATAGCATATACTTCAACGACGGGCTTTTATCCAAACAGTGTGGTAATTTTGTATTATTTCCTTTCGCTTCTTGTTTTTTTGAACTTTTAGTCCCAACATAATTTCTGTTAACAGAATTATATACCTAACAGTAACATTGAAAAATGCAAAATATTTGAGACAAGACAAATTTTTTGACCGAAAGTGGAAACGGCTAACAGAAACCTTAACTTTGAGGCTTATCTACTTTGATTTTGGATCTTAAAGTTCTTAGGTAAGAGAACTATGAATACCAAATTGATTAACTGACTTCCAAATCTTCTTATTGAATAAATACAGTGAATGATATATTAGCAGTAATTAACATATTGTGGTCAACTAGGTATTTGCTTTCAGCTAAGAATCTGCACGGATCACAAGAACTATTTAGGAAAACCGAGTAGAATTCAAGTAGTAATTCTCTATTTCCAATATCAGGTATTCCGCCGTTGCTGCTGTTTGATGGACTTTTGTTTTTTGTATTCTTAAACTGTCGGCTTGAATTAAATATTGTAGCGTTTTCTGGGTTCTTTTGGGTGTGGATTAAAACACTGGATTCCACAAAAAGAAATGCACTAATTTATTTAACTTGACTAGATAGAACATTTATGTACACCACTATATATATATATGTGACTATTTATTTACGAATTACTATGTCGCACCATTCACTGAACTATACTCTGATTCCCTCTCCCGGCCGTCGAGTTATATAGTCAGCATCGAAGGGACTCGTTGATTCGAGAAGATTCCGGTGGGCCACATAGCGGCATTCCAGAATCTTCGAGGTCACTTCGCGTCGATCTCAAAGAAAAGTCCCTGGCATGGTCCTCAACAGATGACTCCAGCACCGAAGGAGAATCTTGCGGTCCTCATCAAATGTCGCAACCGAAGGAGAGTCTGGCGCGGTCCCACACAGATGGCGCCAACAGTACTATTCATTCTTGTTACAATATGTATGAGAGAGAGGTCTGTATAGACACATGTTAGAAAGAGGTAGAAGCCGGCTGGATAGCAAATCTCATCACCACGTTGCCTAGTATCGCTGACGCGGCAATCTGCCGCATTGCCAATATGTTGAACCAGTTCCTTGAATTAAGATGCATGTTGAAAATATGCGTTAGTTTATTCTCCGCGCCCAAATAATGGTTTTATTTTGGGCGTACACATTTTTTAATTGTGAATTGTATCGAATCTGTTTCGGATCGATTTCGGATCGGTTCTAATGGCGCTCCATTTTAGGTCGAAATGAAAGGTCAGGATCGCCACAAATTCTGCAACATTGCATCACTGGTTCGCTCGGCAATCAGTAACCATCTAGCGTTCATTGAGGCGTGACGTCGTGCTTTGAAATTGTTTTCACCTGCGTACATGCAGGCAGTGATAATTTGTATTGCATAATGGTATTTGTTACATTTTGAGACAGAAGCGTGTGTGAACATTTCCTGGTGTAACATATTGGCACCGCGGCAGATGGCACGACCTTCTGCGTCATCCTTGCTAGGCAAGGTGGTGATGACCTTCGCTCTTCAGCTGGCTTCTATCTCTTTCTAACATGTGTTGATACACACTTCCCGCTTGACTTATAGGCTTGACACCTTCTAATCATTTCTAACTCGGTGAAGAACAAAAAATAAATCCAGTTTTTATTAAGTGCATACTTCTAAAATAGCTTGCGTCGTTCTGTTTGGAGTTTTTCCACATTGTCTATGTTTGAAGAGCTAGTTGTTGACTAAGACGATGAGTCAGGTTTGTTTCACTTTGCTGCGTTGGTTTGTAATACCGAACTCACAAACCGAGCATTTCAATGCAGTTTCAAACATATTTTCTTTTACATTTTAATGTTATGTTAATAACCGACATTTGTATACTGACAACGTTGAAGAGCACTGTTACCATGATTACTTCTATATAGAGATGGTATTTTTGGTTGTTACCATATTATAACTGATTAGATTTATTTTTTGTTTATAGTACATTATATAGTCGTGATTATGTATTATAAATTATGTATGAATTAGTTTTCTCGCGCTAGTAGTAAGTTCATCGTTTTCCTAAATTATTAGAACTCCGAGCCGGCTGACGGCACTGGCGTTTTGAGTGCCTGAAACTTCTGCTAAGGCTTCAGTGGTTTAACGTATTTCAAGACATATTGAAATATGACAGAGCAAAGCGCCACTTCGCGGTAAATAGTCCAGTCAGCGCTGTATGTGACCGCTATACATCTGACAATTATGGCTGAATAGTAGATGTGGTCTACTTGCCGTTCAATAAACTAAACTCCAACTTTTGGTCGGATGGATGAAAGCATCATGTTTAGTTTATTCAATGGCAAGTAGACTAGATCTACTACATAACCAGATTCGTCTGCCATCTAACAGTCACTTGGTGACTGGGCTATTTATCGCGAACTGAGGTCTTCACAGTTCAAAAAAGTAGCAGCTATGCGTTTTCCGCAGTGGTTGATTCTGGTGATAGATGGCATGTTACGCACTTATTTCGATAGGCCGTACCTCCGGGGTAGATGATAGTTGCTTTCGTTCGTTGTCCCAGAGAAGAGAGACTAATCCACTAATCAAGTAGCACGAAACAACTGTCCATGGTTGCGAACGAAAAGCTCTTGTTTAGTTTACAAGAAATATTGTTTTCAAATCACATCATTCGGTTATTCCCGATTATTTGACTGGTAACCTGTGCTGCCAAACGCATCACCGGACAGTCATAAGAAAACCAAAGCTCGTCTGTATTTAATTGAATGATAAATTAGAGAACATCAGGTGATTAGCCTCTAGTTCAATTCAGAATCTAATAAACAAGAATGTCAAAAGGAGTTTCAATATTGGATGTAAAGGAGTTTGAAGAGCGACCAGTATGCTCATTGTACAAGTTGTAATAAAGAACTTAAGATTTATTATGCTTTTTTCATGGAGGACGCTGCGTGACGCACAGTCCCTTGATCCATCGCTTATCTTGTTACGGCTCCGACGTTGTGCAATTTTAACGACACTGTCTACCGATTTCCACTTTTTTCGGTTCACACTGCTGGTAACCTCAGAGTTTCATTTATTTGCAGGACTGCAATCACCGGTAACCATCGACCACCACCAACATCACGGTCTTCACCAGCAGAACGGCGACGCCCTATCACCTGCACCACCAACCATGTCGCCGCCCCCTCCCTTATTCGGCGCGCCATCTGCCGCCTCCCCTCCCCTACCCGTGGGCGGTCTACCTCATCCTCCCTTCTTGCCGCCCCCATTCATGCCCCCACCGCCGATGCCGTTCATGCCTCCACCGCCGCCTCCAGGACCACCGGGGGATCGCAGGCCACCCCCGCTAGGCAGGATGTCTTCACCGCCTCCGCCGCTTAATAACAGGTACGTGGCAATTTCAACTATACATATAGAGGTTAGGAAAAAATTGTTTTATAAATTGACAATTCCTTTTTTCGTACTAAACTGAATGTGTAATCTCCCGCGTAGAGCCCTAAAAGCTAATCAGCTAGGTGACATCTTATAGGTTGTACGAATAACTTCTGTTTGCAACGATTTATAAATCTTACTTTTCGCGGGTAATTTTTTTAACTTTATGAAAACAGACGTTATTCCTCAAACCTGTAAGTTGTCCCCGAGCTGATTAGCTTTTAGGGCCATACGCGCGAGCTAACACAGTATTTCCTATGCTGTGATAACATGATTTAGTTTCGTATCAATGAGAATTGACAGTTTGAAATTTCCTAACCTCGATACCGAATAGTTAGGATACTTTTTTTTTAAATGTAGTAGTGTTGGAACACCGTTTCCAGATTAAAATTTCTATTAATTAGTTGAATTGATCAATATTGTAAGTTTCCTTGTTATTTGTAGGTAAAACATCATATTGCTTCGTAAAATATCATATATGGTATATATACAGGGTGTAAAGTTAGTAGTGAATCAACGGAAGTCAGGTGATAGAGGGCCTCAAAACCTATAGAATGAATCCCTATATGTGTGGTCCGAAATTTTATAGTTCAGGAGATATTTGCAATTTTGTGAAATTTCGAAAAAACGGGATAATGAACTTTCAATCGCTATTACAAGGAAACCATTTTCTTCTGAGATGTGCTAAATGGTTAGTTTTAGCAATGCTTATGTCACTTTTTAACAGATAAACGTAAGAAATGCAATAGAATCCTTACCACCTACAAGTACAGAACCTATTGTGTTTAGCCGCACTATATATATATATATATATATACAGGGTGGCCAAACACGTGACGTCATAAAAAAAAAATTAGATTCCCCACATCGAGAGGAACCCAAATCACCCCCATATATATGGTCCGATTTTGTTTAGTTTAGGAGTTATGATTTTTTTTCGGATTTTTCGAGAATTTTTGAGTTCTGTGTTTATTTTTACCATAACTTCGTTAATAATTGTGATAAATGCCTGCTTTTTTCACGATTATGTAGCTAAGACCTAAGGCTTAACTATCATATAATCATTCAAGTCATGTAACTAATACTACTTTTTATTTTTTTTCAAAATCTTCGAACATAACAAAAAAGTAAAAAAGTGCAACAACTTTGAACGTTTATAAAAAATTGAAAAAACATGTTCTTACTATTCGTAAGTATCTTAAAAACTTCCTTACGGTATCAGCTATTTACCGTAAAAATTTCATCAACCTAGCTTTACTACATGCTACCGTAATTGTGGCTCAAATAGAACCGAACCCAAAATTGGATAACCCTCTGCTCAATAGAAATTGTTAGTTTCGGAAAAAAAATTTGCAACAACCACAAAAACACGTTTGATTTTTACTGAACAGCAGATTATTATTCATTTATGTTATTTACAAGAGGTTTTCAAAATGTCTGCCTCTAACAGAAATGCACAGTGTACACCTACGTATGAAATTTTGTTTTAAATCTCTAAATGCTTGTTGTTTTTCAACAAATGTGTCGCTTCTTGAATTTTGTTCCTCAATGAATTTTCATTTGCACATTCTTGGGCGAATGTTATGTCTTTAAAATATCCCCAAACAAAAAAATCAATGGGGTTGAGGTCAGGGGAGCGTGGAGGCCATCGTATCGGTCCGTTTCGTCCGATCCATCTGTCTGGGAACCTTTCGTTTAAGTAGTTTCGCACGATCGTTGCGTTGTGGCATGGTGCACCATCATTCTGGAACACCATGTTCCGTCTGGCTTCCAGGCTTGAATCTTCCAGCAATAATGGTAGACTATTTTCAAGGAAGCTTTTGTAGGCTACCGAATCCAACCTTGACGGCAGTTCAAATGGACCGATAAATTCCATATTGAATATTCCTGACCGGACCGGAATCCCTCAACGAGTACGAGATCTATGGCACAAAACCTTAGAATACCACGAACATCGATACAAAATATTCTTCATGAAGAAGGTTATCATGCCTATCATGTTCAAAGAGTTCAAGCGTTGATGCCTTCAGATTACCAGTTAAGAGTGGATTTCTGCGAGACAATGCTGCGAAGACAACGAGAGGATCCCGATTTTTTTGATAAAATTTTATGGACTGACGAGTCACGTTTTGAAAGAACAGGGATATTCAATATCCATAATTTACATACTTGGGCTGTTGAAAACCCCCACCAGTCAAGGCCGTCGACATTTCAACACCGTTTTAGTGTGAACATGTGGTCAGGAATATTCAATATGGAATTTATCGGTCCATTTGAACTGCCGTCAAGGTTGGATTCGGTAGCCTACAAAAGCTTCCTTGAAAATAGCCTACCATTATTGCTGGAAGATTCAAGCCTGGAAGCCAGACGGAACATGGTGTTCCAGAATGATGGTGCACCATGCCACAACGCAACGATCGTGCGAAACTACTTAAACGAAAGGTTCCCAGACCCCATTGATTTTTTTGTTTGGGGATATTTTAAAGACATAACATTCGCCCAAGAATGTGCAAATGAAAATTCATTGAGGAACAAAATTCAAGAAGCGACACATGTGTTGAAAAACAACACACAAGCATTTAGAGATTTAAAACAAAATTTCATACGTAGGTGTACACTGTGCATTTCTGTTAGAGGCAGACATTTTGAAAACCTCTTGTAAATAACATAAATGAATAATAATCTGCTGTTCAGTAAAAATCAAACGTGTTTTTGTGGTTTTTGCAAATTTTTTTTCCGAAACTAACAATTTCTATTGAGCAGAGGGTTATCCAATTTTGGGTTCGGTTCTATTTGAGCCACAATTACGGTAGCATGTAGTAAAGCTAGGTTGATGAAATTTTTACGGTAAATAGCTGATACCGTAAGGAAGTTTTTAAGATACTTACGAATAGTAAGAACGTGTTTTTTCAATTTTTTATAAACGTTCAAAGTTGTTGCACTTTTTTACTTTTTTGTTATGTTCGAAGATTTTGAAAAAAATTAAAAAGTAGTATTAGTTACATGACTTGAATAATTATATGATAGTTAAGCCTTAGGTCTTAGCTACATAATCGTGAAAAAAGCAGGCATTTATCACAATTATTAACGAAGTTATGGTAAAAATAAACACAGAACTCAAAAATTCTCGAAAAATCCGAAAAAAAATCATAACTCCTAAACTAAACAAAATCGGACCATATATATGGGGGTGATTTGGGTTCCTCTCGATGTGGGGAATCTAATTTTTTTTTTATGACGTCACGTGTTTGGCCACCCTGTATATATATATATATATATATGAGCGGTAGTCATTGCCAAAGCCAACTACTAGTTGGGTACAAAATACAATTACTTGTTAATTGGGAAAATTGGCAAAATTCTTAGGCTTAAGTTGACTGTTTTGACGATAAAATCAAGCTTTCGGCATTCTCTAAGGAGCCTTCATCAGGATTCTGAAAACACAATTGTGATGCTAGCAAAGAAAACAGGACAGATTTAAATTTTCAGACAACTTGTCGGTGAGGTTGCAGCCACAAGATGTTTCAGAACAAACGTAGAGAAGATCGAAATTGTAATCAGTATAAAAAACAAAAGGACGGGGACATTGGGTTTGTAGTAAAACGACAGATACCTTCGTTAAATGTGAAAAATATCAATCCACCCGAACAAGTTAAAAATATTACATGTGAGACGACATTTTGTTGAAACAATCGGAATGCAGATTCTAACCTTCTGTACTCGCAACACGTGGAGAGGGGGACGGCACGGAAAGATAAAGCGTCGACAGATGACAAGTGATTGACGCGACGGACGGTAGAAATGTAGACCTCTTTGTCCAGTTTTGGGTATAAAGTATACGAGGGACGCTCGGTAAACCCCCACCCAAAATTACTAAAATGCTGAATTAACTTGTCTTGGATTTTTTTTTTGTGTAACTCATATGAGTGTAAGAATGTGTGATATTGATACAACCTTGAAAAGATGGGTTTTGTGTTTATATTAAAAATGTGAGTGAGAAAAAAATATTCTAATTTTGTGAAGATGTTGGTTCAATTTGGATATGTAGACGTTCTAGCTATTCGCAATTCAACAGGCAGGAATAAATGACACTGAGCTGCTTGACATCAGCCTTTTTATTCATGCAATGATCTGTCATGAAAATGTGGGGCATTTCTAAAAATAAACGTTTTGAGAGTCTTTTTTCTTTATCAAGAACCTCAACACTGCCATAATTCATGGAGTGACCTGTGTTGTTAATATGCGATACCAAAGCACATCTCTCTGAATGTAATCTGGCGTCACTTTTGTGTGAAGTTATCCTGCCTTCAAGCGACCTAGAAGTTTGGCCTATATACACTAAATTACAGCTGTTGCAATTAATACGATAGACAGTATTGGTTGAATCAAGCAACTGAACCTTATCCTTCATTTTGGACAACAAACTGTTGACTATGAGCACTGATTTACAAGCAAAACGACAATTAAAGGAATTATACAGACTGGTCAACAACATAATTAACTCTGGGAATAGGAGTAACCACGGTCGTGCTGTTGTTTTCATTAGTTGGAGAAGTAATGGGTGTCTAGATGGACTGACCAGTGTTATCATTTTCACTATTGTTATTAGTCATTGGCAAAATATTTGGAGGAGAGCTGAACAAGATTCTGTTAACCAAATACTTAGGATAGCCATTATTGATAAATAAGATTGAAAGCTTCCTTAAATTGGAAAGATGGAAAGTACTGTCAGAGATTTTTATAACCCTGGCTGAAACCTCACCGACAAGTAAGTGTTCTGAAAATTTAAATCCGTTCTAAATTAGTTGCTAGCTTCATATTTATGCTTTAGGTCCTGAAGATAACAACATAGTCGAAAGCTCGAGATTACCGACAAAAGAGTCTACTAAGCTTAAACTTTGCCAATTCCTAATTAACAATTAATTGTATTTCTTGCCCAACTGGTCGTTGGCAATGGTAATGACTACTGCTCTTATATATATATATATATATATATATAAAAAGAAAATTATCATGCGGAGAAAGGTATATAACAAAAAATAGGAAAATAATGGGCAAAATCCGCAAAAAGAAGGAAAGTGGATACGAGCAGAAAGTAGGATTATATATTGAAAATTCGAGGTCTTCTTGCCATTTTATACTACAATATGTAGGTTGGCTCTTGTTGTGGACTTCGTGTGACATGTTTTTCCCTCTCCATCTTCGTTTCCTCAGGTTACACCCGTATCCGGATGTATGGGCATGTGTATCTACTTTTGTAGTTGCATATGTGCATTCATTTCGGGCCTGATGAAGCCAACCAGCAGAAATACGTATCGCTGGAGTCACCTATCCTATTTTCTGCTTGTATCCACTATCCTTCTTTTTTCGGATTTTGCCCATTGTTTTCCTATTTTTTGTTATATATATATACGAGCCCCTTCCCACTTCAGTTGGCCCAACTATTGAAATCTTAGTTTTTTTCTTATCAAACACAAATAATAAAAATGTAGCAGGGTGTTATAGGTTTAAAATATTAACGATGAATATTTTGATGATATATAGTAGAAAACACCAACTTTATCACTCCCTAATCAAATTTGTAGCATAAAAATAACACATGTTGCAATTACAGCATATCAACCTATTTTCATTTCAATGCAAAATAAGTCTATAACGCATAGGTGGCTGTGAAAAATAAAAGCCATGGCAATTGTTTTTATTAATCACAGCTGTCAGAATACGTTTAAAATAGTTTTGGATAGTTAAGGTTTTCAAAATGGGTAGATGATAATCAATTTTTTTAATTCTGGGAAATGTTAGACTTATCGCGGTACAGTGTGAGAAATATTGTTAGAAGATATAACGTAACTGGTTCACTTAATATTAAGCCACGATATGTGAAAAAAAGTAATATCACAAATGCCGACCGAAGAGCATTAAGAAGAATTATCGTGAAAAACAGGCGTGCCAATTATTTACAATTAAGTGCTCTGTGGAGTGACGCTGTTGGAAGGAGAATTTCGAGGTCCACAACTCATAGAGAGGCCCACAAACTGGGATTTAGCACTTGCAAGGAAAGTTTTCTTATAAAAAAAAGTGAAGTAAAAAGTTGCACAACTTGTTTATAGGCCAAAGAAACGCCACTATTAACTACACTGCAAAAGAAAAATCGACTTAGATGGGCTAAAGAACATAGACAATGGACACCTCAACAATGGTGTGCAATACAATGGTGTGATGAGGCCCGATTCGAAGTTTGTGTAGGTGACAGTCGCAGTACAGTTATTCGCCAAAAAAACGAAGCTTTCCATGTTGACTTTCTAAAGAGAAAAGTGAAATTTCCAGCATCCATTATGGTCTGGGTCATCAAAAGGAGTAGGAAAACTTCATTTTATTGATGGAAATTTGGATACAAACAAATATTTGGCAATTTTAGAAGAATCGCTTTTACCAGTGATGGAAGAATGTTTGAGATCCGGCCAAGATTTTGTGTTTCAGCAAGATGGTGCACCGTGCCATACCTCAAAAAAGGCTATAAAATGGATGGAAGAAAATAATGTACCACTTTTGAAATGGGTTTCTAGAAGTCCAGATATGTCACCTATTGAAACTTTGTGGCACGAGATGAAAAAGGTTCTACGACAACATCCTGTTCGTACAATCACCGAACTGAGACAAAAGCTTCCAGAAATATGGGATTGTTTTACACCAAATTTTTGCCAAACCTTGCTTAACACTATGCCCCAAAGAATTTCAGCCGTAATAAAAAATAAAGGTGATGTTACCCAATGGTAAATATTTCAATTGTTGCTTTGTTAACTTCGCGCATTTATTCGCACATTGTTTATTTGTTCAGATATTCTATTAGTTATAGGTCTAAGTGATTTCAAATATGTATTTTTTACGACTAGAGTGTATCTAAAATGTTTTTGAGAAAATAAATTGTTTTAGAAATAAATGGTTTCGTCATGTTTAGTTTATAAAGGCATATTTTGGTACAAATCTTGAAGTCGGCCAACTGCAGTGGAAAGGGGCTCGTATATATATATATATATATATATACAGGGTGACTTTGAAGTTGAGTCATTAATTTTCAGATAATGATTGTAGAAGGAAGATAAACCAAAATATTTGTGTAAAAATAAAAAAAAAATATTTCAGTGCGGACCTGTATTTGATCGTGAGGTCTTGGAGCACCGGCATGCAGTACCCTGTGTGGTCTTAAGTCACCTGATTCACGAGCCCGTTGGACTACATTAACAAAGGCACGAGGGGTTGGTTGCACTCGATTGGGAAACCGATCCGCATAAACATGTGCCATTTTTTATTTCGTTTGAGCCACGCAACAGACACCACTATTCAAACGCGTTACGACTGACACTGACTGTATACAACTGACTAAAATAATTGTAAAAACATCGTTCCAAATTCTTTCGCTTTTTTGTTTCCGATGCGATGAACCAAACACGAGCACATAATATTATTATTGAGACAGGGCGGTACTCAAACTTCCAAAGGGCTATAACTTTGTTACTTTAATTTTACCAGAAAAATGGTAAAGGAAAAAAACATTTCTTTTGATCAGATCTACTCACTGTTAAAATAAATAACTCAACTTCGAAGTATATATACTAAGTGACATATAAATCCGAACACCCAGTTTAAATGGTTTTATTTTAATAAAATTTTGTATAAGTACTTAATGAAGCATAATAAGTAAATGATGAAAATATCAAAATGATTGCACTGCTTTAAAGCCCTTTGACCTTTAATAATGTGTGGATTCACCTTGATGTGCTACGCATTCTCCAACGTGCCTAGGCATGCTTCTGATCAGGTGGTCAATATCCTGTGGTATATCATTCCAGGCAACCACCAACTCCTCTCGAAGTGCTTCTAGAGTCTGAGGAGGACGTTGTAAATTGAGCAATCTCCTACCCATTATATCCCACACGTGATCAATTGGAGATCAGTCGGGAGATCTTGGTGGCCATGGTAACGATGTGACATCATTATGTTGAAAGAAGTCTATTGTGACTCTTGCAACATGTGGTCGGGCATTATCTTGTTGGAAAGTTGGATCTGCCAGGGTGTCAAGATAGGGTAAAAGATGGGGTTCTAGAACTTCGTGGATATAACGCTGCGCGTTCATGTTACCTCTGATGAAGATTAAAGGTGACCTGGAACCATAAGCTATAGCACCCCAAACCATAACTCCAACCGTGTGATGAACTGGTCTTTCAACAAAAAACTGTGGATTCCTCCTTTCACCACGTCACCTTCTAACCCTGGCACGACCATCGTGCATGCCTAAACAAAATCGAGACTCGTCACTAAAGACAATACTGTTCTATTCCTGATCCCAGAGTGACCGTTGTCTGCACCACTCAAGGCGATTACGTCGGTGTTCTCGAGTTAAAGGGAGGACCCAGTGTGGCCGGTATGGAAACACGCCAAAACTTCTCATTCGTCGGTAAACACTTCGCATGCCAATAGGTCTTCCGTTTCTGCAAACCATTCATTTGCAATGGACCTCTAAGTTGACGAAATCGTACAGGTCTCCGTACTCTAGGCATCGTAACCGATCGTAAAGGATGTCAAGAAGCAAAATCCGCCAACGTTGATTCTTGACTGCGGCTGAAATATTCATTTTTAGAGCGTTAGTGAATTAAAAAAAAGCAGTATAAAAACCGGAATGTCCAACTGATAGGGCTGAAAATTTTTTCACTTGTTATTTACAGTAAGATAAATACATTCACCAACTTTTATTAAAATAAAACCATTTAAACTGGGTGTTCGGATTTATATGTCACTTAGTATATATATATATATATAAAGTACAGATATCTTTGGTTTTTGAAAAGCGCGTATCAACTGTAACAAGCATTATTCTAGCATTTCGTACTCTCTCTATATGACATCTTAGCCGTGGAGTAATATTATTTAAATGCAAGATGCGATCCTCGAAGCTTCCACTTACTCTAAAATGACGCTTTTCTAGAATATTAAATTATCAAAAACTAGGCCTTTGCTTGACGCGCTGCCAACACAACTTCACACTTATAAGAACGACGTCACCAAAATGGGAAACGACGCGCAATTAGAAAACGAAATTCAATATTTCTTTCATCTAAACAGTACAACCTGTATTTTTACTATGTGAAGTACGAAACATCGAATGTCTTTCTGGTAGGCTGATGAAGTTAAGAAAAGTATTTCCCATAGACATCTCTCGGGGGTTGTATCATCGCACAGAAGGCTTTCATCACACAAAGCTTAGTGTATTTTACACAAAGTTCTGCACATAAGCTCGGTTGTATAATGCAGTTACACCAAAATTCTCTATTGCAGATATTCTCCAGACACATCAGCCTTTTCTCCGTACGACCGTTACAGTCCTTCGCCCCCTTATGATTCTGAGTATGGAGCTTCGCCACCACCCCTAAGGGCCTACAGTCCCTTCAGCAGGGAAGACAGGAGGGATGCCACCTCTGGAAAGAGGGCACCACATAATAGGACTAGCAGACATATGAAAGGTGAGGATTATGATTAGAATTGTAACTTTAGAATAAGTGCCCTAATACTAAAATACTTATACTTCTTTCTTGTTCAAGGTGGAGTGACGAGTTCAGGATCGGAACATTCAAATGATTCAGTAGATAAAATAAATCGAAAGCAAACAAAAATGGTCTAGCGAAGTTTTTTTGTCTCTTGTTTTTGTCCTACTTATGATCTAGAGCTGAAGTCAACTCGTATTAAGCCAAAAGAGTAAACTTTAAATCTCTTTTTGATTTCATTCAGATGTTCATGCTACTTAGGACACTTTAATGTCAGCATATTTAAATTGTATCAAACGCATGCTTCCTGTAACACGTGGTTTTTGTTATTTAATATGTTAGTATATTTTTAAATTTGTAAAATATGTAAAAATATATATAAAAGTACTGTTTAAATAAAAGTATTTATACTTATTGATGTTTTATTTTCACATACTTTCTTTAAGAATGTCAGTGAGGTTCTTCTGGGATTGTATTTTTCTGCTCTTTTTATAATTGTGAAAGCTGAGGAACGTAAAATATTTGGAGATGTTGTATGAATTAATAGACAAAATTGTCGAGTTATGAGTAGAAATCCGAATTCTTTATTCATTATAAAATGCTCGGACATTCATAAATGAAAGGAATTAGATATCGTAGGCATTTATACCCTATTTCACGAGTATCCATCACGGTAGAATGACAGCAGATTATTTAGTAATATTTCAAAATTCCTCATATTGGTACAGGACACATAATTCTGACAGATCCGTCAACGCCAGATAGTCAGCCGTACTTCATTTTGGTTTTTTGTACGCTACAGATTAATTTTGTACTTGCTAAAATAAACAAAATTGATTTAGATTTCGTATCTAAAAAATGACCAGCATGTTTTTGACCTTGCTTTTCAACACAACTTATGCATAACGTCTTCGTGCGGGCATGGTTTTTGCAAATAAATTCTCTACATTTATGGCAGGTTGAGCTTCCTTTTTTTTTGATTTTTAGAATATATGTCGGCGTCAAACACTGAACTCTGTCATTCCCTGAAATGCCTAGTCAGTCTCCGTATTGCCGGCAAACACCGCAACGTTTGACTAAGCATTTCAGTCATTCTCTGTAATAACTGAACAATTTCAGTGAAACACCGTAACAATCACATTAACTTCGTTACTGCATTTGCCTGATTCAGTCATTCATTGCTCTTTTGCTTAAGTATACATATAGTCCTTTCTGTTCTGCGAAAAAGCAGTGTTTATCCAATAGATGTGTTTGTTTTTTAAAAAAATCTTTGTAATTCAAGGTGCCGTAGAAGTCTAACATGCGCTAACAAATAATGTTTGAAATAAAACAAAATATAAGATAATTCTATGTAAATTTTATTCGTTTGTCACTACTCGCAGTTCTGCACTTTATTTTTCTTAATGTGTATGTATTGTTTTATATTTCTTTCGATACTTTCAGGATATTTCTTGATGATTTAATACATTAATGATTAATGCCCACAATAATGTAATAATAAAGACAGCGTTTAAATCTAGTCTTCTTTCCTTTTAAATTAATTCATGCTTGATTATTTTTCTTTTAATATTATTGATAAAGTAGTACATTGTTATATTCATTGGAGCAGCAGTATTGATTACAGCGTTTGACTAAAATAGGCGAATGCAGTAACGGAGCTAATGTGGTTGTTACGGTGTTTGACTGAAATTGTTCAGTCATTACAGGAAATGACTGAAATGCTTACTCAAACGTTGTAATAATCAAACTGTTACGGTGTTTGCTGGCAATACGGGGATTGACTAGGCATTTCAGGGAATGAAGGATTTCAGCGTTTGACGCCTACATATATATTTTACACCTTCCCTTCTTTTTTCCTCGTTGTGGCTCTGGATTTGCGGCAGGCTCTTGTTCCGGAAGTCCGAAAAATGACACTACGAAGTTCTCTCGGTAAATGTGTTTGCTGAGGTCTACGAGTCAAATGGTCCTTAAGTTCTTGACCTAAAGGGGTTAGGAATAATTTTTCAAGCGGTCGCACAATGAAAATAAATAGGATATGCGTAAAAGAAAAATCAAAAATAGATTCCGAGAGTATTGGGTGCATCCCACGCTCAGTGAGCTCAGTGATAGATTAATTAGTGGATAATTTTACACAAGGCATTCCAAATTACTTGATTACCCGAAAGAAAAAAAAAACATGACTGTCCGACGCCAAAACTCGGAGCGAACTGAGCTATCGGCCGACTAAACAATCGTCGTGTGTTCAGTGGAAGTTAGCCACTAGGGCCCCCGCAGACTGCAGACTTTCTATCGGCCGATAGTTTAGTCGGGTTGGGCTGCCAGTGCGCACGCCGAGCCAACTAAACAGTTTGGTTGGTGGAGAGTGCGCATACTAGCCAACAGTCGGCCGATGATTCTTAAGCTATTTACGATTCACTAGTTTGTATCTGACTGTTGAAGTAGCTGTCGCACAATGAAAGTAAATACAATATTGTCCAGAAATGTTATTATTGCTCTGATACAACGTAGGAGGAAAATCAAGAAAAGATTCCGAGAGTACTGGGTGCATCCCATTCTCAGTGATAGATTAGTTGCTGGAAAATTTTACACAATGCATTCCAAATTACTGGATTATCCGAGAAAATTTTTTGCCTTTTATCGAATGAGAATAACCAGCTTCAATGAACTTGTCAAGCTAATTGGACCAGCAATAGCGAAGGAGGATACAAATTTAAGGCTTTCTATACCTGTGGAGGAGAGATTGAGCGTTACGATAAGGTAAGATAAACCACAAATACTTTTCAATTATTTTTATTAGAATGCAAACTACAAAATTCGGTATTTTTAGAGATTAAGTTGTTTACAGATCGTATATTTGCGAATTAGTTGAAAAATTTGAATAATAAGACTGGACTGTCTCGTTGGAGTTGCCTGGTGATGAAATGTTTTGAATGGTTGTGGGTGGCAAATTGGGGGATGGTGTAGACCTAGTTGTATAAGCCTGTGATTGTTGTTGTGGTGGCATGTTGTTAGTCCCTCGATAAAGAGGAAAAGAGGACATAGGTTGCTGTACTGTGTTGTACCTATATGTATGTTGGCTGAGTAGATTGAACACACCTAGCTAGTCTTATCTGTTTAAACACGTTCAGAATACGTATTTTAGCATCCAGTTTTTCTTCTGCGGTTAAATTTTGGAGTGAAGGGACTAGAGACAAAGCAAAGTTTACATCTTCATCAGCATTAGTCGCATTTAATGATTTTAATAATGCCTCATCCAAGTCCGTATGCTTCGATACATTTGGCCTCTTCTTCCGCTGACGAATAGGGGTGGAAGCAGATGGTCCAGCTTGCTCATCATCCTCATCATTTTCTTGAGAATTGTCCTCCTCCAGATTACCTTCAGTACGTCGGTTTTCCATGCATGGGAGTAAAAATAATAACTGTTCAAAGTAGACATATTTACGCCTCTTGGTCGCAGCTTGTCCCGATTTAGTGTTTTTTTGTGCATTTAATTCTCGACGAAAGCAAGTCCTTAAATTAGCCCATTTTTTTTGCACCTCGCGACCTGAAAAATATTGGAATATAATTAATTTATAATTTATTTCTTTACAGATATCTGGCTACTGGAGCTAGTTTCAATACATTATACGTATCTTTTGATTATCTGATGGGAGCTTCTACAATACGAGACATTACTAAAACTACATGTGAGCAAATATGGAATGTGCTTCAACCATTGTATATGCCAATCAAACAAGAAGGCGACTGGATTAAAATCGCAGACGAATTCTATAGTCGCACAAATTTTCCAAACATAGATGGCAAACATATATGGATGATACAGCCAGAACATTCCGGTTCGTCATATTTTAACTACAAAAAGTTCTTTTCTTGCGTGTTAATGGCTTGGACAGACGCAGATTATAAATTTGTATACATTGACGTTGGTTCTTATGGAACAGCTAGCGATTCGGAAATATTAAAAAGATCAGAAATGGGTAAACGGCTTTCTGAAAATCGATTATATATTCCCTCCGGAAGGCATTTGCCTAATGATGATGTCGGGGATGTTATTCCATTCTCTGTCGTAGGGGATGAGGCGTTTGGACTTGGGAATCACATATTACGTCCATATGCAAAAAGAAATTTAAACTACACCAAACGAATTTTCAACTATAGACATACAAGAGCTCGACGAATGGTTGAGTGTACATTTGGGATTCTCGCTAACAAATGGCGTATTTTTCACCGACCAATAGATGTCAATATCATTTTTTGTGTCCGAATTATTAAATCTTGCTGTGTCCTGCATAATTATGTAAGAATCAAAGATGGACTGAATTTTACAGAAACTCTCTACAGCTGTCCCATGGATAACTTGACTATAAATGAAAACAACCGAGGAAGAAATAATATGAATAACGTGCGACAGTACATGTCGTCATATTTTATTTCTCCTGGAGGCGCAATTCCGTGTCAATATAACAAAGTGTAATAATGTAGTAATTAATGTAATAACAAATGTAATAAGTATTCAGCTACACCTACGTACATAAATAAAAATTCACATGAAGCGTTACGTACCTTTGTTTGTTCTGTCCTCGGCATTAAGGTGATTCCAACCAAGAACAACTGCTTCACAAACTTCCTCCCACAATTTTTTCTTGAGATTTGCGTCGGAGTACTCTTTTAAAGTTTTTTTATAAAGCGCAGGTCTTTTCTCGACTTCTTCAATCAACTGTACGATGGACGTTTCTACAATCAACGATTGTGAATTTGGCGATGCCATATTAAAAATATACGCACGAAACGACTGTCCAACGCCAATGGCCGGAGCGAACTGAGCCATCGGCCGATTGAACAATCGTCGTGTGTGCGCACGTGAAAGTTAGCCAATACTGATTAAGCAGTCGGCCGACAGTTGGCCGACAGATCAGTTTGAAGGAAATCGGGAAGTCCATCAAACTTTTTTATCGGCCGATACTGAATCGTTGTAATGTGCGCATACCCATAACTCTCCATACTGATTAACAAGCCGACCAAACTATCGGCCGATAGAAAGTCTGCAGTCTGCGGGGGCCCTTACTGATTAAGCAGTCGGCCGATAGTTGGCCGACATATTAGTTTGAAGGGAATCAGGAAGCCAATCAACATTTTTTATCGGCTGATACTGAATCGCTGTAATGTGCGCATATGCATACCTCTCCATACTGATTAAGAAGCCGTCCAAACTATCGGCCGATAGAAAGTCTTCATTCTGCGTAAGCCCTTAGTTTAATTAAAAAGCCGTCCTGAGTGGTAACCCTATCTGTTTCAAGTTGGCCATAATCGCCATACTGTGAAAATCGACCGCGTCAGCCCCAACCCCTGACGGTTTTTCAATTATGGGTTTGGAGATAGTGTTCTGGTTGATACACATGTGACTTTGGAGCTAGATCAATGTTTCCAAACTTACGTGCATAGCTCCACAAACAGTTCCTACCCGCTGTGTAACCGATAGGGGGCCTAACATATCTGCAACTTCAGGCGCTGTATGAAAGCTAGTGCATCTATGCTATTTGAGCTTTAGGACACCAACTTAACAAGTTTTGTGATATATTGGCATCCAGGAGGACCAATTTAGCAAAACCTAGAAGACAGTCTCAACTTCATATCATTACCATATCGTCTCTGGCTCACAGCCTAAGATGTAAATCTCCGCTCGCGTAGCACAAACCTTTATCTACAGGACCCAGGAGCTAGAAGTGATATGGTTAGTGCACCGTAGAGATAAACAAACTTATGCCACACCACAGATTATTTATTAGCTACACTCAAAGCAGGGTACGGAATCTTGTGTATTACTTACACCCTCTGCTTGCTGCTTTAGTTGCAGACTGCCATGTCATGATGACATCTCTCTGTCCTCTAAGGGTCAATTAAAAACTGAAATGAAATTGTTACAAGTCAGATTAATGGTTTAGTTGAAGGTATTGTTTGGTTTTGTTTCTTGTATGAATATGCCTCATGCTACAAACTCGCTTAAAAAGTTTAGTTTAGTGGCCAAGCCTGTACAGGAAGGATTATCCTTAAGATATATAGCGCGTCTGCTGCACCGCTCACTGTCTGTTATTCTGCAAACGTACCAAAGGAAGACCGAACACTCACTGCTGCTGAATTTGCAGCTCATCATGGTGTTGGTTTTGCTTTGACCTGCAGTGGAATGCAAAAAAGGGATCAAAAACGTTCATCATAGTTTTATCCTGCCTTGCTTTTGTGCATTACCATCTGCGTTGCCGCTTGCGGAGAATTGATAACAGGTGTCTTTGACAACATGGGAACAGTTTATCCATTCTCACAACTTGGTCATTCTTGACGCGTATAATACACGAATCTCATAAAAATACGACAGTGAATCCATCACAGCCTGAACGTGAAAATGATAGCGTTTCTTCTATGTTTTGTTAAATTGGGCCCCTTGGGGTCCGATATGTCATTAAACTTGTTAAGTGGGTGTTCTAAATCTCAAACAGCATGGGTGGGGTGGTCTTGCACCTGTCATACGCCGCCCCGCCCCTCTCGATTAAACAGTAGGTATGAGCTGTTTATGATGTGACCTCGTTAGTTTGTAAACACTGTTCTAGTTCCTGTCCATGGCCAAATCATCATCGAAGCACCGTCAGGGATTGGGGTTTCACCCAGTGGATTTTCACACTATGGCGATGATGACCGATTTTTTCCAAGCTGCAACGTGTAGGTTACCTCTACGGCTTTTCAGCTAATTGCGCTTCTGTGTACACGTTCACAACACGCTGCTTCGCGATTCATCCTTTTAAACGCAAAAGTATGAGAAAGAGGCACAATGGGGGCCCAGACGTCAGATACGTCGCACTGCCCATGTATTGATTAAAGCAGCGTTTCTCAGCCTTTCAACATTCGCGACCCAATTTTAAATAATTATATTCACCACGCCCCCCCTCACACAATAACAATGTGTGTATACGAGGGATGTCTTTTAAGTTTTGCATATGGAAATAAAGCAACACGGTAGGTAGTTTTAAATTACTTTATTGTTTTTCGAAGTATTCTCCACGAAGATTAATTACACATCTGCATGCGCTCGAACCAATTTTCGAAGCACTTATTCCACTCGTTTGCTGGCAGATCCAAAACGGTATTTTTTAATGCGTCAACTGCTTCTTCTGGTGACTGGAACCTTTGACCACGCAGTCTGCTTTTAATTTTCGGGAAAGTAAAGAAATCGTTAGGACTTAGATTGGGACTATATGGAGGATGGTCCAATAATTCCACGTTTTAGTTCCGTTAAATACTGCCTTGTTTTTTGTGTTGTGAGCGAGCTTGCATTGTTTTGGTGGAGGATGATTCTTCTGTCGGGGTTGATTGGTCGAAGCTCGGTGGTGACTTTTGGCAAACAAATGGTGGTATACCAATCCGCAGTAACAGTTCTTTGCTCATTAAGAGGAATTGTTGCAATATGACCCGCTTTTGATACAAATGTCGCGACCATCTTTTTCGAAACAGAACGGATAACGTTTGTTGGCTTTTCTTCCTCTTGGAACACCCAAATAGCCGACTGTCGTTTATTTTCTGGTTCATAACAGTAAATCCACGATTCATCACCACTAACAATGCTGTACACATTTTTTTGAGTTTCCGGAATTGAAACGGTCAAGCGTTTTTTGACACCAATTAACCCTGGCTGCTTTCTGGTCTTCAGTCAACAGGTGGGGTATCCAACGAGAAACTAATTTTCTTACTCCTAATTTTTCATGTACATTTTTTTGAATTGAGGTCTTTGAGATCTTCAAGGACGCCTCAATCTCGCGATATTTCACATGTTTATGTTCAATGATGAGTTTGCGCACAGCATCGACGTTCTCCTGGGCGACTGCCGTTTTTGGAGCACCCACCCTGGGATCGTCGCTAAGGCCCGTATCGTCAGTCGTCGCTACAATTGTAGGGCGCCTTTATGGCCTCCTTGATTGTCATAGTTTTCTACTTCTCCGTGTCAGCGCTCTATTTTGAGGTTATGTCACAAACATCTATTTGCATCAAATTGTGCTTGCTATTGAGTTATATCATGTTTTATCAGCCTGAAATTACCTACAGTTTAAAAAGAAAACATATCTTTACAATAGGAGAGCGCTGACACTGACACGGGACAAGTGTAATCTAGAAATTTTTGAAGGAGAGAAAGAAGTATGACAATCAAGGAGGCCTACAATTGTAGGGCGCGTTTATGGCCTCCCTGATTGTCATAGTTTTCTACTTCTCCGTGTCAGCGCTCTATTTTGAGGTTATGTCACAAACATCTATTTGCATCAAATTGTGCTTGATTTTGAGTTATATCATGTTTTATCTGCCTGAAATTTCCTACAATTTAAAAAGAAAACATATCTTCACAATAGGAGAGCGCTGACGCTGACACGGGACAAGTGTAATCTAGAAATTTTTGAAGGAGAGAAAGGGGTATGACAATCTAGGAGGCCATAAACGTTTACTAAAGAGTGAGGTTAAGATTGAGTACTGACGTTCGTTCCGCGCGGCCTACTATGTTTCTATATGCAAAACTTAAAAGACATTTCTCGTACAATAATAATGTACCTTGAGTATTTTGACGCTAAACTTACAGTACAAACTTAATCACAAGTCCTACAACTTACCGAGAATAAGTAAATTTATAGATATTTGGCAATGCCGATCTGCTGCTTTGGCAAATCCGGAATCAATGCCTCTCTTCGCGAGAAGTTCCGAGTTATTCCGAACATTCTCGACCGTCTGCGCGAACGTGTATACACGCGGCATCTCGTCAATTTTGGATTCAAAGTATTCTGTGATTTGTGGATCAGTCTCAGTCGAGTCAGACGTTCTATCTGTGCTGAATCTATTGCGTATGTTGTAATTTGCATGTTAATTGCAGTTCACGGTATTAAAGTATATATATGCCCAGTAGTAAATTTAAATTTCTTCGAAATCGTGGATACATTTTTAAGTGGGCGTAAGCGAGTATTCGATACTAGCGAAGCATCAACAAGTGCACAGGCGAAATAGGTTCCAAAAATAAAATAAAGATAATAATATTAATAATAATAATAATAATAATAATAATAAATGTCTTTATTGAAACCTTCGAATTGAGGCGAAGTTTAGCCACATGGCTACTCTACCACTTAATTATTCTCAATAAAATTCTGGGTTTACATGTTCTGAAGTCAATGAAGAAGAGAGGCCTATATGTATCGTTGTAACTTTAGCAGCAGATAGCATTAAACCTAATAAACTTAAACGACATTTGGAAACGCTTAATGGTGAGTACGTTAGCAAACCCCGAGAAGTCTTCGAGTTAAAATTAAAATCATACGAAAAGCAAAAATCATTTAAAAAAAGCATTGACTGTGAATGAAAAAGCTTTACTTGCCTCTTATAAAGAAATAGCTAGATGTAAGAAGTCTCACACTATTGGTGAAGAGCTTATTTTGCCAGCTGCAATTAAAATTGTAGAAACTATGTTTGGAGATAATAATTTTTCCAAAAAATTGGAGTCCATACCTTTGCCAAATGATACGGTAGCTCGTCTAATTCGTGATTTAGCTGATGATGTACAGCATCAGCAACTCGGGAAGTTGCGAGACAAGTTGTTTTCAATTCAGCTTGATGAGGCAACGGACAGCTAGAAAGATGCTCATCTTATTGCCTACGTTCGATTTTGTGATGGCAAATCAGTAGTAGAACTACTTTTCTGCAAACCTATAGATCTCAAAGCAACAGCTCTCGCATTATTTGCTATCTTAAATGATTATAAAATCGAGGCAAACATAGGGTGGAAGAACTGCGTCGGAATATGCACCGATGGGGCTCGTTCAATGCCCGGAAGATTTGAAAGTATAAAAGCCCTTGTGAAACAAAAATCTGCACTGTGCATCTGGACACATTGCATGATTCACAGAGAAGCTCTGGCTTCCAAAGAAATGTCTCCTGGCCCTAATATTGTGTTAACTACAGTTGTAACAGTAGTTAATTACATACAAATGAGACTTTTGAAACCTAGATTTTTTTCTGCACTTTGTAAAGATATGGGTGCAGTACTCTATTGCGAGGCATGATGGTTATCACGTCATCACGTGGAAAATATTCACAACGTGTTTTTGAATTAAGACATGAAATCGCCGTTTTTCTAGAAGAAGAAAACCGACCGGAAGCCGAGATGTTTCGAGGTGGTGAACCTTCAGCTCGAATGGATGAATGTATTAAAACTTACAAGGTTAAAGAACAACTTATGAAAGTTGTTTTCATAACCATTGAAAATCATTTAGCGATGCTGACAAAGAATTTAAAAAAAATATTTTCTTTTCGACGACAAATTACTCCCGAAGGGCTCTCAACTGCCGAAGAAGAAATCTTCATAGACTTGACGGCAAACGCCGAAATGAAAAAACAGTTTAATAATAAATCCCTCTTTGAATTTTGGGCAGGCGTGAACGATGAGTTTTCGGCACTGAAAACCAGAGGGTTTCGTATACTGCTACTATTTTCAACATCCTACCTTTGCGAAACAGGATTTTCGGCGGTGGCTGTTTCGAAGAACAAATTTAGATCGCAGCTAAATATAGAAAAAGAACTCGGAGGGTCTATTTCAAATATTAAACATTGTTTCGACAAGCTTTGCTCGGCAAAGTAGGCTCAAAGGAGACAGGAGACACTAGTAATTATTATTTTACACAGTTAATATTATTAAACTTATTTTTAATTTAGTATTGATAAATACAGTCATGTTTATAAGTGTGCCTTAATGTGTATTTTATTTTTGATTATGTCAGAATTTAGCTTTTCTTTCCTTTCAGGAAATTATTCAACGTTGTTAGTATTTTTTTTATATGCCGGCACCCCCCCCCCCTTGTCCTTCTAGGGAGGCGCGCCTCACAGGTTGAGAAACGCTGGATCAAAGGAAACACTATAGCACCAGAATATCACAAAATAACAATAACAGTTTTGTTTACCACGTTAAATTCAAGGGGAAAATTCACGTGAATATTTCTGCAATTTTTGCTTCAGAACATCTCGGTACTCTAACAGTCCTAGCGCAGGCACTCTTTATTTGATTGAAATGCGCTATAAAGTATCGAGGAGAGAAACGTCGAAGTTACATTTATTTTAAAACCGGATTGTAATTAGACAAGTGGTAGTGTTGAAATAAGTGAATAAGTGGCCCGCTAATTAAGTTGCATAGTTCATTTGCGAGTGCTTCAATGATAGGGAAAAAAGTGGCAGGAATGGGTGTTACAGAATTCGGGCTTGGAGGATGTAGAAAAATTAGATTCCAGCATGTTACAGGGATGGATTGGACTACAGAAAGTATCGAAAAGCGAGAGTAGGCTATGTAAGAAGTGACGACATGACGTGTAACAAAAAATCTCGACTGCTTCCAATCCCCAACAAGGTGGATTTTTATATCTACTCGTCCTACTACTCTGTGCGTGCATTAGGTCCGCTGACAGATGGAGCAGCATCGATTACTAATTCTGTCAACGACCTTTATGCGAAGGCGGGTCAGATGCTGCTAACACCTATTGAGCGGGGTTGTGGAAAATGCTTGTTCCGGAAGTTGTTGTACTCGGCATAGATCTTCTTCCCATTCAAGTGATTGTATACGCGTTAAGGAATACCTTAGTACTGATTGCTGGGTGGCGATACAAGTCCGTCAACAGGCCACTTTAGGTCTGTTTAACATCATTAACAAGCAAAAATAAGGTGGTAAACAAAGACAATTCGACCGAGGCCGAACCACCCGCCAGCTTTTTTTAGGGTGCCTTAAGAATGTCCGCATGTTTCCACACCCAAGCTACGCAGTCGGTTACCTTCCCTTTCCCTTCTCAACACAGAAATGAATGAGGATAGATTCCTCGGGTATTGAGAATTCCGGACGTGAACTCACTCCATTCTCGAAATGTTCGAATGGAGCGTGGACTTGAGGGAACAACATCCATAACAAAATTTATCTGTTTCACGAACATCTGCGGGGTTAACCGCAACATTGATGCTGCTTACTACTACACTACAGCCTAATCGTCCCGCCATGCTTTTCTAGGCGGAGACCAAAATCTCCTACGCTGCACCGATAAAACATGTTAGCTTCCCAAATTACGAGGTGCACTCCATCTGAGAAAGAACGGGGGAGTTGTGGATTTTGTCCGCAGAAGTCTTTCCTGATCCAGAGATGTTTCTTTGGAATCAGGCCGAAAGGACATTCTGAGGCTTCGCGACAACTCCAAAACATCCCCCAAATACATTTGCTGCCTGTATCGCTCTTCCTAGGACCATAAGGACTGACCCAGCTGGTGACGAGTCTTACTTCTCTCTCTCTCTCTCTCTTGATGACAACGCACCATATCCCTTACAGCACTGCTGCCCTGTTTTCCCTGGGTAACGCAGACCACGGTGTGGTAGCAGAAACTGCCCCAAAATTTGGCATTATGAGCATGCCAAGTGGGAAGGACTTAGAGACTTTTTCTCCAACTTTCATTGGAGAGATGTTTGTTTCGCTAACCCGGCTGCATTGGTTGTCATTCATCAATAAATGAACTTATCCATGTTGTGATGGTGGAATATATCCCACATACAGTGAAAAAACCCAAACCGAGGACCAACGGCTGGTTCAGCAAATCGTGTACAGATCAAGTCATATAGAACCTTCTTACAAAACCCCACTGTAGAGAACAAACAAACCGGTTCGTAACGTCAAAGGCCAGCACTATGTAAAATGGGTAATGTCGCAGCGCAACAGCAGTCAATCTCTCTGGACGCTGGCCAAGCAAATTGAAAGAAACTTTTCTCGCCTTCCACCATTTACGTGTCAGGATGGAACAATTATAACCGACTCAAAGGTTAAGGCCTTTGGCCCGGACTTGATTCTTGCCGTTGTATTGAAGAGATATGCAGCGGAGCTTGCTCCAGTTCTTTCGCATCTTTTCCAGATATCTTACGACTCCGGCACTTTCCCAAAAAACTGAAAATTTGCTCATATCCAACCCATTAAAAAAAGGATCTAAGACCGACCCTTACAACTACTGGCCTATAGCTCTGCTTTCTAATATATACAAGTAAATTGATGGAAAGGTTGCATAATTCTGGAGTACGTCATCTGCTTATTAGCGACAGGCACTATGGTTTCCCGCACCAGATTAGTGGCTAACTTCCTCTCGGGCTGCAAGATATTCGTCGTAATTGACGGGTCTCCTCTTCATCTCATAACGTCAACGCGGGTGTTCCCCACGGATCGGTCTTGGCTACGACATTGTTCCTCTTACATATCAACGACATCCTTTTCTATACGGTCAATCCAATCGACAGATTTGCTGGTGACAGCACTCTACATGCAGGAATTCAGAGTGACAAGACGATCTCCGCCTGTGAGCTGGAGAAAAAAAGACTAGCAGCGACTTCCTCTCTGACGAGAGACCTGCAGCTTATGACTTCTTGGAGAAGCAGCAATCTTGTACAGTTGAATGTTTCGACAACACAGTACTGTACCTTGACGAACAAGAAACATCCTAGCGCTCACCCGCAGGGGTATTATATAAAATAATAAAACCGACAAAATGTCACTCTCAAGAGACGTGATATCCGTGCCGGTTTCGATGGATTGTCCCGACTACATTATCCATGCCCGATGCTGTTCAGACGGGGCTGTCCGACTGATGAATTCAATTAATTGAATAATGATATTAAACAGTGTTCGAGTTTAAAAATGTTTAAGATAAAATTAAAAAATCACTTTATGAATACTCAAAATGAAGTGACAAGAATGTAAAATTACAGAAAATTGTTTGAAGAAAAATGTGTAAGCGAATAATATTGTACAAAATTGACATTGTAGCATTAATGCTAAATAGATCTTCAACAAACAAACAAAAACTCTTCTCTAGTGGACAGTCTCGAGACCTTTTTGCACCAGCGGGCCGTCGCCCATTTGGCTCTCTTCTACCGCTACGCCAACGGACTCCTTAAAGCTCTTCTCCATGGTGCCGCTGCGCGATGTGCCTGTCAGACAGAACCGCCTGACTTTAGCTTCCCGTCCCAACCGTGTCCCAGTTCTACTAACCATACTTTCTATAAGCTCCTCATAGCAACCGCGGTACCCTCGCATTTAGGCTTCTGCCTGCTCGGCTGCTTCGGTGTAAAGAAAGCTCACCATAGAGAAAGCTGCTGACAAACTCAATCAATATGCTCAACTAAATTTCCTTCCATGAACAATTTTACATTAACTGGTAAAGGGTAAAAGTATTTCATGCCGGACAAAAACCAGGGAAAGCATATGTTTGAGAAATATAGATAGCGCCTTGTCTTTTCAGTTTTACGTTAAAATGTTTTTAAGTCGAAATTCCAGTTTCTAAACATGAGGTGAATATCTTAAAAACTAGGAATTTCATATGAGAAAATTTCTGGATATAACCTTCTTTGGCATAACCTTTGACTGATCTCGGCCGATTCGAAGATCCTGTATATTGTTATTCAATTCAATTGTCATGACTGTCATTCTGCTGTAATAAAGGCATAGATAAAGGGTTGATGCAAAGAATTCGGTGTTGGAGCAGTTTAATCTGACTAATCCCATAAATATGCTGTGAGATGCATAAGAAATATACTAAACAAGAGCTGGCGGAATATGATGAACGAACAGAAAAGAAGTCTAAGAAAAAGCGCAAAGAACATAGAAAAGAAAAGAATGATAATCAAGTCTTGTTTCTAAAATATGATCCAAGGAAAATTTTCAGTGCGAAAGTTGAAAGCAAAAGGTAACTTACAAATACAAAGGGTACTATAAAAGTTTTGCAATATGACTTAACAAACGGACACAGAAGGCCGCTTGTTACTGCATATTGAGATATGTACATGAGTGCATAGTAGCCGCCAGCAGCACGTCTGATGATTTAGTTGTTCATTCGTATTGACAGTATAAAGTGCGGACTATGGCATCGTGGTCACGTAGTGAATTAAGGGCAGCTTAGGGTATAACTTTACGCGTGGTTTAAGCATAGACCAGTGTTTGGAAGAAATTACGCTTGCATTAAAGAATGATTGTCCTCATGATACGACTATATTCAGGTGGTACAGGGGATTCCAAAGGGGCAATGCCACTCTGGAGGACGCTGAGAGGGAAGGAAGGCCGCGAACGTCAGTAATAGAGGTAAACATTACTGCTGTGAGGAAAATGCTCGACGAAGACAGGAGATTGACATACCAACAGATAGAGGAGACCTTACACCGTCGTGCACCAGCAATTCACTCAATTCTGTATGACCATTTACACGTAAGGAAACTTTGTTCTCTCTGGGTACCGCATAGTCTGACTGAAGAGTAGAAGACTCGTCGTACGACTTGGTGCCAAAAGATACTGAAAATGTTTGATAAGGGGCAATCTCTGTATGTGAACAGCTTCGTGACAGGTGACGAGACTTGCCTCTATGATTACGATGTGCCGACCAAAACTCAAAACAAAGTTTGGGTCTTTGATGATGAGGACACACCAGTAGCTGACAGAAAATCCCGATCTGTTAAGAAAAAACGATTGCTGTATTTTCAAATCGAGCGGGATATTGGAGCGTGTCGTTTTGGACACATAGAAGACAGTCACAGCTAAGTGTTACACGCAACAGTGCCTGGCTTAAGTCATAGAGTCTATGAAAAACCTGCGGCCAAAGTCAAAATGGACACTTGGTACTTCCACCATGACAAAGCTCCAGCTCACTGCGCCAAAGCCTGCACTTTGTATTTGACCACTACTGGACTGAAACTTATTGAGCACCCTCCTTACAATCCAGATCTTGCTCCCTGCGACTTTGCATTGTTTACGCATGTGAAAATGAAGCTAAAAGGAAAGCGGTTTTCTAGCAATGAGGATCTTCTGAGGTCAACGAATGTGCCGCACTCCCGGGTGAAACTTGAGAGAGCTGGTTTAAGGACTGGCTTTGGCAGATGGAGCAGTGTATTGAATGTGGTGGAAATTACATTGAACGAAGTCAATAAATAAAGCTGCATTGCAAAACTTTTATAGTACCCTTTGATCTGAACCAACGAATCTGTATGATTCTTGCTGTCACATTTTCCAGCTTGTTTCCTCTCCAACTTAACTTCGCAATGGGAAAATAGTTACTAGTACATCTTACGAAGACTCTTGTCAAGTTTAAACAAAAAAGTGATTAGCAAATAGCACATTTTTGATATCTTTTGACTTTGCTTCTTAAAATTAACACTCACAAAATGCTCTTATTGCGAAAAATTAGTTTAGAGTAGGATAAAATTAGATAATTCTAATGGTCAGTATCATGATTCCTGACAATTTTAGAGAAAAATCTAGTAAGGATCGAGAGCCTATGGAACACGCGATCAAAAAGAAAAGTGGTGAAACAAATTCTGATAATGTTCAAGACACGAGAATTAGTAAAAACACAGATGAAAGAGAAAAACTTTACAATGAAACAACGCAGGCTTACGAAACATACCGTAAGTATATTCGCAAGTTAGAAAAAGACAACAAAATATCAAGCAGCTCACTCAACATTCCCAAACAAAAGAAAGCTCTTCGTTTACGGAAAGAAAATACCATTCACCTGGCGACTCCCAGCCATGATATGCCGATTTTCAAACCTTTTACGGCAGTGAAAATCGACGAGAAAAAACATAAGAGTAAGAAGAAGAAAGGGATAGATGCTCCTGATGAAAAAAAAACCAGAGGGGAGGGTGATCAGAAGCATCAAGTTTTGTACTGTCAGATTGAAACTGATGCACCGTTCAAACACGGTGAAAGACAAACGTCTGAAGCAAGAGTTGGTAGGTATATTTCGGAAGAGCTTTGAAACGACGTGAAAAGTAGACTTATATGGAAGTTTTAATATATCTAACATACTATTGTCATATCTGAAGTAGTGCTATCCGATTTATTGGTGACACTTCCTTGACAATTTCGAGTTTCTCTCACGTCCTTGGGTGGTGAGTGATCTGTTTTGTTTATTTTTTACCGATACGACTACATGCTTTGCTCATCTCTACGGTTCTGCATGATGTGACCCGTATTAGGCCTGGCAGATTGGATTCGTTAGACATTTCATTAGAAAGTTCGACAATTTGTCGACATCTGTCAGGGCGGTCCGTAAGCCCTTTACCCTTGTATGTCAATCAGTTTGTTAATTTGTCGGTCTGCTTACTCAGAAACCAGACAAAGTCGAAGGGAAACAGAAAAAAGAGGAATGAAAGAAGAAAGAGAGCAAATAATAGGAAATATAGCTATTGGTGGGTGAAGCGCCTAGGCATTGTTGAAATGACTCAAATAAATGTGATTCTCTAAAAGAAATAATTTTGAAGGATGGGTTTTATTAAAAGTGATTATGAAATACCTAGAAAAGCATAAGTAATATTTTATTCACAGTAAAGCTAAATGTTGCTGTATTTGCGAACCTTCTCGACTACTTAATCCACTGACTGATACTACAAAGGGTTGGCACCCGATTCTGCTTGTTATTAGAAGGTTTTGGCAAGCACAAATATCACATACGTAGATGTTAATGTTAAGCTGATTTGACGTTTTTTCCATACAAATCATCGACTTAAGTATTAAAAAATGTGAACGTTATCTATGATGTATGTGATATTTCTGATGGCTAAGACTTTCTAATCATAATGTTACTCGATCATTATCTTATAAAGTCTTCAACGTTTACGTACAGTTAATTTCAAAAAGGCACTACGATTTTTAACGGCTCAGGCTAGTAAGCTGAAATTTGAGGGTGGAACTGGCAGAAGAACATTTCATGATGGTGGCTGGGCGCTATCTTGAAACATTTTTAAATTATAGCGTGTTTCGAAGCACTACGGGTAACTGTACAGGGTGTTTCAGTTTATTGTTGCATAGCTTTAAGATTCGATAGAACTTTTAAAATTAATGCATAAAGTCTACATAAACATGGGTCGAAAAATGCGTGGCTTCCGAAATACAGGGTGTTTAAATTTACTTTTTAAAATAGTTTTTTTAAAATATTTCGAACAATATGTGATGTGAAAATTGGTATAAAACCGTTTTTTTGGTACGACAAAACGAACCATGGGCATAGTTTTACTGTAGCCGCTAGAGGGCGCTCTCTACTGTACCTGTAGTGTATTAAAATGACCGAACATTTCTTAGTGCAATTTTTTGCTTTTTGAATAAAAAACTTATTCTTCGCACTTTTCTGCAAAAAGCTCTCCTGTGAGTTTTCGTTATAGTTAGCCGTTTTTGAGATATTTCGATTTTTAAGGTTCGATGCATTTTTAATTATTTATGGGAAAATAATATTTTTTTTACATTTTCGATTTGGGGATTACAAGTAATTGAGATGATCGTTTAGATTGTGTTTTTAAATATAGCAATAATTCCTAACTCCAAATAAACACAAACAGACAGAATATTAATTTGTTTAATTTTCCAATATTATTTTCAACAAATTAAATTAATTATTTAAAAACTAAAATGCTATTGGATCGTTAGGACAAACATACAAAATCTAAAGTAGTTGCTCGAAATGTAAACCCAATTGTTCAATACACAATTCACATCTACGAATGATCGAACGTGGTATAGCATTATTCAAATAAGGCCTTATTTCATCACATGCATTCCTGATTCTGTCTATTAGCATATCTCTTGTGGTTTCGTACACTTTTTCTTTTAGAAATCCCCACACAAAGAAATCTAATGGATTTAGGTCAGGGGATCGTGGAGGCCAGGCGACTGGTCCTCCACGGCCGATTTATCTTTCTGGATAATTTTCGTCCAGCCAGTTTCTAACTATTCTCGAATAATGAGCTGGACAACCATCAAGCTGGAACCAGGCCAATCTTCTTAACATAACATCATCCCACATATTTGCATGTTCAGCCTTTAAAAATTCCAAGAAGATCGCAGCATTTAACCTTGCAGGCAAAAGGTAGGGTCCAAATAGTCGATTACGGTAGATACCAATCCACACGTTCACACTAAATTCATGCTGAACATTTCTTTCCCGAACTGCATGCGGATTTTCATGCGACCAAATATGTTGATTATGAAAATTTACCACTCCACTTCTAATGAAGCATGACTCGTCGGTCCATAAAACGTTACTTAAAAACTCCTTATTATTATCACTTCTATCAAGAATCCACTGACACAATGTGATCTTCGTTCTCCGTCCCCTGGCTGTAGTCCTTGCACATGTTGCAAATGGTAAGGACGTCTATGGTCATTTCTAAGAACACGGTGAACATGGCTTGCTGAAATTCCCAAGGCACCAGAAACTCTCCTAACACTTGTGGTCGGATCTCTATCAAACTCACGCAGAATCATACGGGTAAATCTGCGCTGACGAACATTTATGTTTTGATCCCTTTGGAGATTTCCAAAACCATTTTCAATTATTTGGCGATGCACTCTTACAAATACTGAGCGAGTTGGATGTCGTCTGTTTGGAAATCTTCGTGCGTATTCTCTGGCTGCTTCTGCTGCGTTTCCATTTACAAAGCCATACACAAAATAAATATCCGCTAGCTCCGCTAAAAAACAGGTAAAAGAAATTAAATTTCGTGCATTCACAATTGCAAAAAAACGTTCAGGTTTCAACAGACAACAAAACTAACTGTCCACTAATTGACGTTTAACCTTATTCTGCTTTCAATTTCAAAAATATTTGAAGGCACAGCCTACTTCTAAAAATTATCGAGATACTGACTTTTTAACGTTATTTTATCATAAATAATTAAAAATACATCGAACCTTAACAATCGAAATATCTCAAAAACGGCTAACTATACGAAAATTCACAAGAGAGCTTTTTTATGTTGAAAAGTGGGAGGAATCAGTTTTTTTATTCAAAAAGCAAAAAATTGAACTAAGAAAAATTTGTCGGTCATTTTAATACACTACAGAGGTATAGTAGAGAGCGCCCTCTAGCGGCTACAGTAAAAATATGCCCATGGTTCGTTTTACCGTACCAAAAAACCCTTGTATACCAATTTTCACTGTTATACATCAAATATTGTACGAAATATTTAAAAAAAACTATTTTAGAAAGTAAATTTAAACACCCTGTATTTCGGAAGCCACGCATTTTTCGACCGATGTTTATATAGACTTTATGCATTAATTTTAAAAGTTCTGTCGAATCTTAAAGTTATGCAACAATAAACTGAAACACCCTGTATAACCCTCAAATATAAAATTGCTATCTTGAGCGTATTTGAACCTTGAACAGCCGAACAAATACTCTTCAGAATCTATCTGATCTATCTGATTGTGCAATAAAATATGAGATATTCGTTATAAAAAATAACATATTTTGAACATCTTTTCTGAATGGAATGTTCTATAATTTATTCACTTATATAAAAAATGGCGTCAAGTATGTTGACTTCCCTTTCCACGCAACGCTATCATCAGTTATAACAAGTTAGCTTCGCTGAGAAAAAAAGTTAGTTACGAATATTTCAACCCAATCTGCATATGAATGAACTCGATCGTTTCGTTCAGGTTGACACATTTTCACAAACCCTTCTCTTTCAGAATTTGAATACTTTGACCACCACAGTATGATTTTTTCATGACGAGTCTGGCAAAGCTGAGCGGCTTTCACCCATTGCATCGGGCAGTTTGCGACGCAGATACATATGCGTGTGTTCAAAATATTTCTATCATATATGCCTAATAAATGCACAGAATTGCTGGGGCTGGAAACGTATTGCAACTCCATCGTATAGCTGAGACCTGGTGTGGCAGTGGGGCGCCTTCGTGATGTCAACGTTGATGCAACCAGAGTTACGCGACCGTGCGTGAGCGTTTGCGCTCATCTTGAAGAATCGGACGATGTTCGAGAAGCATCGAGACCCATCAAGGAGTATCTACCGCCATCTACAATTTTAACGGAGGCTCGATGTCGATCGAGAATAAGCAGGAGCGAGCTTCTGGAATTCGTTGATTTAAAATAAATATACGGAAAGATGGTAGAGTTAACCATTCGACAGCGACCACAAGAGTGGTCGGCATACCGGTGTTCAATTACTTGTTGGAAAAAAGCTAATAGCACTGGACTATCATGGAAGTGGAAACCTTGTCTTGGAATGTACAAGACGCGGTGTTGTCAAGCGAATCAATGATGCAATTCTTGTTTCTAAGATTGTGAATATTTTTCTGTTTTACCCCTGAACTTGAAACCTCATCAGCTAACATTTTAATTTAATATTCAATCATTATTGCTTGTCTGGTCATGCGGTAATGACGGTGATCTACCAGTCTGTTCCTGTTGTACGCACAAGAACCAATATAGGAAAGTCGGAGTAAGTTTGACCAAAATGAGAAACAGAAATATGAGACGACCGAAAGCTAAGTCCTTTCGTCGATAAAAGAGAGGCTTGAGTCGTTTATGGAAGTGTGATTTATTTGTTGGTAACCTCCCATGAATCGCAACAATATCACGGATAGCATAGTCACTTCAACAGCATGTGAACAATATTTTAGTATTTTGGTATACTGTTTCGATAATTCACGATTCACAGCTTTTACTGAACATCACAAGAGGCACAGCAGCAAGAGAAAATCCAGTTCGCAAAGAATAAAGTCTCAAAAATCCCATCGGGAGAAATCCAGTGCAAAACATAGAAAACCCCTTGCTTTGGATGAGTACATATTCGAGCCCCAAGATAAGCCCGATAAGAATAATGTCACGGAACTGTTCGGTAGTAGGGATGAGATGCCAGAACGTGAGCATAGTAATTATTTTTTGTAAGGACAATCGTGGGCATGTCCGCAATAAAGGAACATGAGCAGAAATAGAAGGATTGATAACAAATGGTTGTGCATACGGGTGTATCCAGATGTGATGGGAATATGTATTCACATCGGTGTTTTCAATGCACATCCATTTGGGCCTGATCAAGTCCTTCTATTTCTGCTCCTCTTTGTGTATTGCGGACACAGCCACGCTTGTCCTTTGTTTGTCATCTATAAGTTTCCGCAAGACTTGTTGCCTTTCTTTGTATTACTTGATTTGTTTCGAAGGCATTGTTTTCTCCAAAAACAACCCCGGGAGAACTAGAATTTAATTTGATTACGACTCGTATTGAGGTTGTGAAGAAAGTCATCAAGTATGCACAGTATGAGAAAACCCAAAAATGGTGATCTTCAATGGTTAAAAACTCGGTTAAAAATCAAAATTTTTGAGGTCACCAGTTACATAAACTAAACCTTAAACCAAAAATGGTGATCTTCAATGATTATAAACTCGGTTAAGAATCAAAATTCTTGAGGTTACCAGACATATAATATAGGTAATATTCGGAGAGTATGTTAAGATTAGTTTATTTTAACAAAATTTTTACCGTTGTTTGTTGGGCCAAAATTGGCGAACTTTTGTTGAGCGGCAGACCATATCCGTGTCAGCCCTAATATCGTTCGCAGCGGTATGGATCCATTTCAAGGGGGATGAGGTAGGACATTGTAGTGGGTGGATTTGTCGATAAAAATTGCTGAAAAATATCACCCTCAAATATCGGTATGTCGTGACCAAAACATATTATATATATACGTAGTCGTGCCATAAGTTCTGTCCCATGATAATCTCATGATAAAAATGAAACAAGATAAGATATATTTATATGAAAGATATTATTTATTCGACAACATTTTTAGAATTCATAATCAAACAGTTTTATTCAAAATGTCCCCCCTTGGCCTTCACACACTGCTTCAATCTCGCGGGCCACTCATCTATCACTGCACGCACAGCTTCCAAAGGAATAGCTGCCGCTGATCGGATCAAATCCGCTTTCAGGGACTCGATATTACGGTGGGCTTTGGAGCAGGCCAACTGCTCTAGCAGGTCCCACAACTTGTAGTCTAAAGGATTGAGGTCCGGACTCCCTGAGGGCCAATCTTCCGCAGCAATGAACTCTGGCACATTGCTTTCCAGCCAGCGCTGCGTACTCTTAGCCTTGTGAGCGGGGGCGGAATCCTGCTGGTAGACCCAGTGTTGGTTGGCAAACAATGTACCACTTAAAGGCTTGACGATAGGATCCAGTATGTCGCTCTGATAGTTTGCCGCTTTTGTTTTCACGCCCTGTTTACAGAAATGGAGCTGAGTGACCCCTTCGTAGGACACCCCCCACCAAACCATGACTGACGCAGGGTGGTGGCCTCTCTCAACTCTCGGAATGATCTCCGAAGCTTCCTGTGAACTCCTTGCATACACTTTGTCATTTTGTCGGTTGAATTTTTCTTCTATGGTGAAGATTTTCTCATCCGTGAACAAAATCTTTCGGAATCCCCCAGCTGCGTACCTCTCCAAGAGCTTCTTGGATCTTGTCGCCCTGATGTGTCGCAAGGTGGCCGTAAGTCGCTGGCCCGTACTCCGGTAAGCCCCTAGCCCTAGGTCTTGTTTAATGATGCGCGACATCGTCCGGACAGGAATCTTCATTTCCCTGGATAGGATCTTCTGCTTCCGGAGTGGATTCCTTTGAATCCTGGCTTTTACGGCTGTGATGGCTGCTGGAGTCCTTACTTGACGAGGTCTTCCGCTTCTTGGCCTGTCATCAACAGAGGACGTCTCATTGTACCGCTGAATGGTCCTAGACACAAATTTACGCGATATTTGAAGGCCGCGTAAGAGTTCAAAAATCTGACTAGCACTGTGATTACACTTATGTAAAGCTATCACTGCAATACGGTTCTCTGCCTTGCCCCACTCCATCGTTATGCTTCGAGAGATCAATACAAACTGAGGTATATGTAATTACCCGAAAAGCGCTTAATCAACTGACACCACAATTTAAACAATCGGACAAGTATTAACAGGTCTACACTTGTTTGAAAACGAGGGACAGAACTTATGGCATGACTACGTATATATACTTAGTGACATATAAATCCGAACACCCAGTTTAAATGGTTTTATTTCAATAAAAGATGGTGAATGTATTTATCTTACTGTAAATAACAAGTGAACAAATTTTTAGCCTTATCAGTTGGACATTCCGGTTTTTATACTGTTTTTTTTTAATTCACTAACGCTCTAAAAATGAATATTTCAGCCGCAGTAAAGAATCAACGTTGGCTGATTTTGGTTCTTGACATCCTTTACGATCGGTTACGATGCCTAGAGTACGGAGACCTGTACGATTTCGTCAACTTAGTGAGTTTGATAGGGGCCGTATAGTGGGACTTCGGGAAGCTGGACTTTCTTTTCGGGCAATTGCAGTTAGAGTGCAAAGAAGTGTAGACACTGTGGTTAGGTGTTATCAGGCATGGCTTCGAGAAGGCCGTACGCAAAGAGCAAGGGGCACTGGAAGCCGCCGTAGAACAACAGACCTAGAAGATCGCCGCCTAAGATTAATGGCCTTAAGGGACCGTTTCTCCACTACCAGGTCCATTGCAGATGAATGGTTTGCAGAACACGGAAGACCTATTGCCATGCGAAGTGTTTACCGACGAATGAGAAGTTTTGGCTTGTTTTCATACCGGCCACACTGGGTCCTCCCTTTAACTCGAGAACACCGACGTAATCGCCTTAAGTGGTGCAGACAACGGTCACTCTGGGATCAGGAATGGAACAGTATTGTCTTTAGTGACGAGTCTCGATTTTGTTTAGGCATGCACGATGGTCGTGCCAGGGTTAGAAGGCGACGTGGTGAAAGGAGGAATCCACAGTTTTTTGTTGAAAGACATGTTCATCACACTGTTGGAGTTATGGTTTGGGGCGCTATAGCTTATGGTTCCAGGTCACCTTTAATCTTCATCAGAGGTAACATGAACGCGCAGCGTTATATCCACGAAGTTCTAGAACCCCATCTTTTACCCTATCTTGACACCCTGGCAGATCCAACTTTCCAACAAGATAATGCCCGACCACATGTTGCAAGAGTCACAATAGACTTCTTTCAACATAATGATGTCACATTGTTACCATGGCCACCAAGATCTCCCGACTTATCCCCAATTGAGCACGTGTGGGATATGATGGGTAGGAGATTGCTCAATTTGCAACGTCCTCCTCAGACTCTAGAAGCACTTCGAGAGGAGTTGGTGGTTGCCTGGAATGAGATACCACAGGAGGACATTGACCACCTGATCAGAAGCATGCCTAGGCGCGTTGGAGAATGAAATTTTTATCATTTACTTATTATGCTTCATTAAGTACTTATACAAAATTTTATAAAAATAAAACCATTTAAACTGGGTGTTCGGATTTATATGTCACTTAGTATATATACTCGTATATAGTCAGCTCTTTTAACGGTAATCTCGAGCTTTCGGCTTCTCCATGGAGCCATCTTCAGGAGCTGAAAACACAAATATGAAGCTAGCAACCAATACGGGAAGGGTTTAAATTATCAGACAACTTAGTCGTCGCTGAGGTTGCAGCCAAATGGTGTTTCAAAACGAAAGCGATGTAGTAGGTTAGAACGGGCTTGGCCGGTTTTTTTCCCCAAAATTGCTTTTCGATAATTTTTAATGTGTTCGCGTGTATTGATATATAATGTTAACACAACGATAGTTTCCGTCGTTATAAATAAACCCAATGTGTCCGTCCTTTTGGTTTTATATTTGTAATAAGTGCTCTCATCCACGCTTTCGTTTTGAAACACCATTTGGCTGCAACCTCAGCGACGAGTAAGTTATCTGATAGTTTAAACCCTTCCCGAATTGGTTGCTATCTTCATATTTGTGTTTTCAGCTCCTGAAGATGGCTCTATAGAGAAGCCGAAAGCTCGAGATTACCGTTAAAAGAGTTTACTAAAGCCTACATTCTTTTTTTGCCAATTTCCCAATTAACAATTGATTGTATTTTTTGCCCAACTGGTCGTTGGCAATGGCAATGACTACTACTCGTATATATATATATATATACTATTTTATTCTTAAAAACCTTGACTGAAAGAAAAGTGTATAGGTACAGTATTTCACAAATATCTAATATCTATACAGATCAATCCAATAATATATTGATATTTTTTCTTCACCAATACAGAATACAAATATAGTGTGCAATAAGCATCAGCGCAAGGTAGCACCGTGTACGCAATCATACTGCTTAGATTTAGAAAAGGTATTAAAATACATATTTTAGATAAATACAGGGTGTCCGCAAAGTTGGGGTTTTCCTTTTCAGAAACAACTACCCTTGAAATAACAAAGGTAATGTGTAGTGAAACGAGGGCGACCAAGTAAAAAAAATAATTGAAAAAGTACTCACTCTCCAGTTGACGAGAAGGGCTAAGTACGTCTCTGCCCGAAATCATACCGCTCCAACAGAAAATGAAATCAGCTGATGCGCTACCGAGCAGACGCAGGCAAACAAGGAAGGCAAAATTATGCGTAAAAAGTCTAGGTATTGAATCCCGTCCAATCGATTTGGGAGAATAAATTGTCCAATGAGCATACCGTTCACCATGCCAGCCCAAACATTCACCGAAAATGTTTGTTGAAAATGTGCCCGACGGACAGCGTGCGGATTTTCTACTGACCAAACATGCCTGTTGCGAAAGTTATTCACCCCATTACGCGTGAACGTAGATTCGTCTGTCACCAATATGCACTTCAAAAAGTCCGGATTATTGTCATGTTGATGCAACAACCACTCACAAAACCGCACTGGAAAATCGTCAGGTTGAATGGCTTGTACACGTTGGACGTGAAACGGATACAGCCCCTCTTCACGCAGCGTTTGCCACACTTTAGTTTTTGATACTTGCACTTCTCTAGCCACGTCTCTAGTGCTTGTTGTTTTTTGAAGCGCAATCGATTATACGGGTTCGTTTACCTCTACACGCGTGACCGTAACCGTCGGTTGAAGGTTGCATACTGACCTGACACACTGACCCCCGACCCAGTTCCACCTTGTACCACTCGGTGATGTCGCGGGTCGCGGCTACAGGACGGTATACAGATATTTTTGATGTTGCAGAGCCCTTTATCTCGGTTCCCTTAAGACATTGGTGTATATGGTGCTAAGAAAAATTGCTTATGTTTTCAAGATCTACACGTCGTGTAAAGGAAAACCCCAACTTTGCGGACACCCTGTATTGCTGTATCTTGGTGTAAACAGTACCTTGCTAGACCTGAATCATGAGCCGTGCACCATCAACTTCATTTGTCACAAGGGCAGTCTAAGCATGTTGCCGCTACACCCTCCCCTCTAATCGCCGATTCACCTCTGACTCTGAACATGAGTGATGTGACCATCACTAAACCCCCTCAGATTCCTAAATCCTTGAAATAACTTTATTGATGTTTCAGTTTATATGGGGAACATGTAGACGTTGTAAAAAGCTATGTTTTGATTATTGATTGGTTTTATCGAAATTGAACATCAGATTTTCGATCAACTATTTCACAGGTCGCAAGCATAAAAGCCACAAGTCCCATTCAAATGCTAAAAGTCGGAAGCACAGCAGCACTAACAAAGATAAGTCTTCGAAGGGAACGGAGGAAATTAAGAGCTACTTCGAGAAGATTCAATCGGCGATTGATAAAAAAATTGACAGTCTGTTAGGACCTAGACAAAAGCATCCTTCTAACGCACTTAGTTTAGAGAAGGAGGAAAAGCCTCTATCCAAAAGTAAAGTCAGGCATAGATCACCACACAAGAAGCATCACAGTAGCAGTAGAGGTAATGGAAGTAGAAATTAACTATTTGCTTTCTTTCTGTTTAACTTTATCATGTTTTACTTGAAAACTAACTGTACTATTATCTAATGTAAAGATGCCGCGACAGTGACAGGAGACAACGACACGAGACGGTTAAGTTTGAGTTATCAGTTAACAGTTGAAAGTGTCATTGAACATAAATAGTGAGCTTTTAGTGGATAATCGGTTGATAGTTCCGTTATTTCAAAATATACATACATAGGAACAGTTTGCATACGACGTATAAAATATCATGAATATCCTTAAACCGATTTGGTTGAAATTTGGTGCAATTATTTGAAGTAACAAGGCGTCTATTTAGCTCTATTTTGAAAATATTAGGTCCAGTGACGTATCTTTGGGCACTACAGCCATATTATTGAGAAAAAAGTACGTCAATGACTTCTTAGCAGTTTTTATATTTTATAGATTAACCAGGTACAAATGCAGTTTTTTGTTATATTGTTTTTTCATATCTGGCCTCGTTTTCGAGAGAAAACATATAAATCACTTTAACTCTAAAAACTATTCATCGACAAAATGATAACAAAAACCACAAATCAAAAATATACAATTTATTCCTAAATGTAAGTTACTAAAGGGTTCACTTTCTGATAAAAGACACGACTGCAATCGATTTGTCATTGAGTTTTTTTAAAACTTCAACGCCCTGTATCTCAGACACGAAGCAGCTCGAGACATAACGTTCATAGGAACTTGGGGGCTGGATGGCCGAGTGAATAGTGCATCGAGCTACTAATCGGTCTACTCAGGCTCGAATCTTCGCCTCGAAAGTTAATTTCGAGCCACGGATGTTGTGTCGTGTGTTGTGTATATCATGCAACAGATCGGTGTAAGACCGACATATTATGTATCATATAATCAGTTACTAAGGGGTGATTTTTTTGCTAGTATCTTTTTGGCAACACTGTTTTTGACAGATGACGCGTGAATCGTGTCTTGTGTCATTGTCAAACTTGTTCAGTTTGGTCTATAATTTAACCATGAATCGACTTATGAACGAACAACGCTTGCAAATTATTGCTATCAAAATTCATGCTCAGTTAAGAAAGTGCATCGAGCACTACTTTCAATTTATGGGCAATTTGATCGGCCTACTGAGGGAGCTATTCGGAAGCTTGTGACTAAATTTCGAACCCAGTTTACATTATTGGACATTAAACCACCAACACGCAGACGTAGAGAGAGCACTGAAGAAAATATTGCGGCTGTATCCGCCAGTGTTAGTGATCACCGTGAAATGTCGATTCGCCGCCGTTCTCAGCAATTGGGCCTCTGTTACTCCACTACGTGGAAAATTTTGCGACAGGATTTGGGTGTAAAACCTTATAAGATACAGCTACAACGTTTCCAATTTGGTGAATGGGCGCTGGCAAAGTTGGAGGAAGATCCACATTTTTATCGAAAAATTGTGTTCAGCGACGAAGCTCATTTCTGGTTGAATGGGTACGTTAACAAGCAAAATTGCTGCATCTGGAGTGGATACCAGCCAGAAGCATTGCAAGAGCTACCAATGCATCCCGAAAAAATCACTGTTTGGTGGATTATGGGCCGGTGGCATCATCGAGCCGTACCTCTTCAAGACGACAATGGCCGGAACGTAACTGTGAATGGCGAGCGCTACCGTGTGATGATAACAAACTTTTTTTTGGCCAAAATGGAAGAGCTGGACTTGGCTGACATGTGGTTTCAACAAGACGGTGCCACATGCCACACCGCACACGAAACAATGGCCCTATTGAGAGGCGAGTTCGGTGAACAGTTTATCTCACGTTTGGGGCCCGTCAATTGGCCGCCTAGATCGTGTGATTTAACGCCATTGAACTATTTTTTTGTGGGGCCATGTTAAGGCTAAGCCAATATTAAAGCATTTATTCGCGAGATATCGGCCGATATGTTGGAGAGAGTGTGCCAAAATTGGACCTTGCGCATGGGCCATCTAAAGCGGAGCCGCGGCCAACAGTTGCATGAAATAATCTTTAAACATTAAATTCTATCGACCGTTCTATCGACTCAAATAAATAAAAATGAAGATTTAATCGTTTTTTCCAAATTTTTTGTGTTTTCAAAATCAAATCCTATACCTCTTAAAAAATCACCCGTTAGTAGAAGGCCTGTGGAGTTGCTGCAATGACACCCGTTACCCCCTCCTCTGCGGGTGCCTGTGGAAGGGAGGTTTTTTATTTGTCATTTCCAGGACCGCTTTTGTATCCCCTGAAAAACCTCCCTTCCTATGTATGATTTGGTATTTATTGTATTCTAATTTTTGGGAAACTCAAATAAGTAATCTAATCCCCCAAACACTTAATATCAAAATAAAGCTTATAAAAATGATATTTCAAAACCGCAAGGTACAGGGTCCGTCAGAAAGAACGCATGTTTTTCGAATGGGTACTACATCGAGTGAGCTGGGCCCATGTCGGTGGGGAAGGGCGTGTTGGATAGTGGGAGAAGTGCCGTTTCAGTTGGCAAGATGGTTTGGAACGTTGAGCATCGTGTGTTCACTTTACGTTGGTACTTTGAAAATGGCGAGTCTGTCGTTCGAACGCAACGCCAGTTTCGCGTTCCACGTGGGACAGTAGCAGACCGTAACACCATTTTGAGATAGGTGGAAGCATTGAACACAACAGGTAATGTGATAAACAAAAAATCGCCAGCGCGAAACCATACTGTTAGAACCCCCGAAAACGTAGACAGAGTGAGAGTTGGCACCCTGCAAAGCCCGAATTGTTCCGTCCGTTTGCGTGCCAGTTCCCTAGGGATCTACGCGTCGTTACAACGTGTTAATTCAGCTCATGCTTGAACAGTTGGATAACAGTGATATGACGTTGTTTATGAGGGATGAAGCACATTTTTATTTACATGGATACGTCAATAAACAAAATTGTCGATATTGGTCTCCAGTGAACCCCCAACAGTTGCATGAGCACTCCCTGCATACCCCGAAACTTACAGTTTGGTGATTATTGGCCCTTATTTTTTTGAGGATAATCGAGAAACAACTACCAAAGTAAGCCTCGGACCCTCGTCGATTTGAAGGAGGAAATAAGAAGAGAAATAACCCAAATTCCTGCACGGATGCTGGCCGACGCAATGGGCTCATTTTGGAAGAGGCTTGATTCCAGCATTTCGGTTCAATGGCGCCATATGGTCGACATAATTTTGTTTTACTAGAAAACATGGCATGTGTTTTGATATAATAAAATATTTTTCCCATACTTATTTTGACTGCGCTACTCATTGTAAAGACATGTGTTCTTTCTGACGGACCCGGTACATTCAGGTTGTTGTATTCAAAATTTTGGAGACAATGTATTTATAAACACTTGTATAGACGATGTAAAGAATTAAAAACATGTTTGAATGATAAGATACCTTGGGATATGGAGCTCACTTTGACGATAAGTCCTTTCAAAGTATGCTGAGATGTAAAAGGCATTTCACTTAAAAAATGTATGTTTGAATGTCACGAAGCTTAGTTTTTTGACGTTTTAGATGATGTTGATCATTTTTGAAAAGTTTGTAGGGGTAATAATTAGAGGGTGGACATATTTTGCTCATCATAGATCTCGCATTCTAGCTGATGCAAGTGTGTATCAGTCGGCCGCCGCTGCACGACTGCTGAGGATGTGGACCGTCGATTGTCAACTAGGCGATATATTCTCATAGTTTCAGTTATGGCTAAATGCAAAAAAATGAATATGTTATTTAGTCCTCATTTTCATATTCAAATCAAAAAATCATTTGTTACCACCACATTTAGAAAACTTCATAGAATTAAATAGTCATTATCATAACTATGGAACGAGTCAGTACAGATATTCATCTGCAAAATTGTAATAGTAGCATAACTAGCAAATCTATATTCCAAAAGGGAGTATTTGAATTCAATAAATTGAATAGTGATATTAAACTGTGTTCAAATTTTAAATGTTTAAGGTGAAATTAAATAATTACCTCATGAATACTAAAAATGCATAGCGATGCAATTTTAATAATAATAATAATAATAATAATAATAATGTAAAATTACATAAAATTGGTTCAAAAAATGCGTAAAAGCATAATCATACAAAATTGACATTGTAGAATTGATACTAAATAAATCTTAAACAAACCAACAGAATGTGCGTCCTCAGGATTTTTTCATAGGGGAAGAGTAAGGGCCATCCATTGGCAAGAGATAACGTTGTGTGAAAGCGTTCCTGCCTCCTAAACTTTTTGAAGAGGAGGAAGACGGTAGAATATTTTCTTAGAGGGTCGAATCCTAAAGAGCCCCAAAATTGTACAGAAAAGCAAATTATCAAAGGTGGAAAAGTTTCGTGGACACGGGTAATTTCCAGACGACACGCCCATTGCATGACGCAAAATTTGTAGATACGTAAAATTTTCATCAGGGTCCGCTCAGTACTACTTTAGAAGAATAGTACTGGTTTGTTTCTGATAATTTTATTTGTTCCCGAGGCGCTAGGGAGTTGAGCAGAAAAAAGAGCATCGTTCAGAGCATGTCTGACTCAAGGGTTCATTTGAAGAGCTCAGATGTATTGGAAAACATCGATAAAGAAGCCATAAGGTCTTATATTACTAACCATTTGTCGAAAAAGGAGAAAAATCAGTCACAAGAGCTTAATAAGAGCTCAGATAGCAAGAAGTCCAGTAAGAGAAAGTCTCTTGAATTTAAGGTAAAATATACTATTTAATAAATGCTATTTGCGGTTTTATACGATGAGAGCGAATTAAGACACAATAACAGCCGCAAGTCCATTAATCTTCTACAATAAAACAACGTTGGTCCAAGGTTTTCCTGTGATACATGTTCAACCACTTAAGGTTTTTGCCTATTATACCGTATCATACTAGGATGATCGCGTATGACGTCAGTGTGGTAAGCCTTCCGTTTCATAGCTGTGAGGCATGGATGTCAAAGCAACTATTTTTCATCTCGTTTTATGCTGTAACTGACGATAATTCACTCTAACCTCCGTGACATGTCTGTGAGATGCCAGACGTCTAAGCGCATATCATACGCACAACAACATAAGTACTTCTGTTTTTCATTTTATGCAAGACGGGTGTGAGATTTTCTACTGCATATCATACGTCGTACCTCGCATCAGACGTTTATGTACCGCGTGGTACATATACGTATATGTGCAACAACGTATTTTTGTTTTGCATTTCATTCATTCATCGCTGGACCAACTAGAAAAAGGATGTACCTATGCAATGCTACAAATAATATCCCTGAGAGATTTAGAAAAGTCAATTTGAATCTAACTGTAGGGGAAACGCATAGTTGAGTTGATACACAAGGCGAAAATGGCATCTCTATTGGAAATTCTCTTTAGATTCTTTTATAATCGCCTTCTTGGAGGACGTCAGAATGTAGGTCAACATGTTTCTAACGCGAAAAGAAGTCATGCTGTAGAATATAACGGTAGGAGGCAAGATTGTTGGAATAGTCCCCAATGGCTACAATATTTTGAAGTTTCCTATGTAAAAAATTCAGAAGCTACTGCATATCTGTGATCTGTACACAAGCTCATTTTCTGGGTAAGACGGATATAACGCCAATTCGACGTTAAGACTCACAATGGGTTCTAAGCGAGATTCTAGTAGCATCTCCCTAGATACTATCTTAAGTTTAAACCGGGGCCATGATAGGCGAGCGATATTTGGAGCCCTACAATCTGGTACTCAGACATTCACATTATGGAACTTCATCCGATTTTGAGGCACACTCTCAAACCGTAGCCCTGGTCACGTGCCGCTTGTGCCCATGGTAAAGACGGGGGTACATAAGACCTCGGACTGCTATAATCTGTAACATCTCTAGGTAGAAGGAGTAGAGCCTCCAAACCTCCAGTCGAAGAATCCACAGAAAAAACACGTAAACCGAAACCTTGAGTGCAAGACAGTTTCTATAATCGGAATACCATCAAGTATCCAAGATAAATCTATCATGCTGAACAATACGCAAACAAACACTTCACTGAAGTTTTCAAACAGCGTCGAAGACATAGTGGAGAAAAAGAAGAAAACGAAAAGATTCAAGTTGTACTACAAGTATTCCATGGATAGCAGCGCAATCACTAATAATAGTTTGAATTCAGAAGAGCACAGTGTTGTTAGTGGAAGCTACAGGGTGAGTGGTTTTGAGACATCAATTTCATATTTTTCTGAGCTTTCAATACTTTCAGGAAGTAATTACTGCAATATCATGGAGCTGTGATCTTGGTAGGTGGCTCTCTGATACAGAATCACTTCAGAAAATTAGACACACAAACCGTACGAAATTAGAAAAATTTGGAAAGCCGCGGTACCATCTTTGATACAATAAACAGAAATTAAAAAATAGATTTGATTTGATTCGGCCGGACAATGTATACGTATACCTGAGCTGCACTCAGGAGCGATATGCTATTTTTCGTACATATATAAATAACTATCGAACTTGATCAACATATGTACATGAACTACAGATTTGCTTGTAACAAATTACGATAGCAATTTCCGGTGTGAATACTGCGTTTATGAATTGATTAACATAACATATATCCTAAAAGTTTAGTCAAAAATACTTATTTATCGACTTTCTTTTTATGAAGAAATTTATTTAAACATTAAAAAGTTATAAATTACTTCTCAATACTCAACTGAGCTATATTATCGAATTATGTGGAGTAGCCCATTCTACTTTCTTCGTAAATTCGCGGTCCTAATCATCTTGGGCTTCCCAGCCTCCATGATAAACCTTCCTAGACAGTAAAGCCAAAAAATCCTCAACTTGATATTATTTTGTGTTTGTTAAAACTAACGCTAATGAATTTTATGCCAAAATTTTTAGGACATACGTTATTCCTCATGGCGTTAAATCATCCTCATTAACACTTGTGAATATTTGCGAACCTCTCAGCCCCATCTCTAGTATTCGGTTTCCCTCTCTACTCTTGATAGCTTGTAGTCACGCCAAGCTAACTACAGTAAACATAAGAGTAATATGTATTAACACATAAATGTTTGTTACTTTAACACATTGTAGTTGTCCCTAATAACCTTTATTTTTCAATGCAGTAAAAACAGTCGAAAGGGAGTGTATTACGACCAATCTAATGTTTATTTTATGAATCTGCTGCGATTTTAGTCTCCGACTTTTCGTTGAACAATTTGATGTGGTGTCACTGGACAGTCTGGTACTGGACAGCTGAGCTGGAGAAAGTCAGTCTTAGTTTGAAATACAATACAGATTATCCTGTATTCTTTCTTTTCCCCAAGAAACGTACATACGATATATGTAAACTGAAATAATTTTATTAAACATATGATTGCGAATACTTACATAGTTAATGTGTGTGCCAAACATAAATCTACAAACTAGAAAATGTTCTGTTAAATTGCCATCTGATGAGATGGCAATTTAATCGACAATCGACACGTCCATGCATTGTTTAAAATACAATCTATTTTCTAAAATTATATCTTTCAGGCTAGTAATACACTTGCAATAAAGTTCTTAGTAATTGATGTCATATCAATCTAGGCATTATATGATACTTGATCCACGATTCGGGTAGGAATTACAGGCTCCTCACCGATTAGCCGATTTTCGATGTAGATTTACGAAAACGCTTTCTAGTTGATCATTGGTGATCTGAATCATAGGTTTTGATCTCCGGATCAACTGAAAAAATACGTTTTTGTAGCTAAATCAGGTAATGAATTTCTTGATTTACTATGGGAATTAGAGGTCTTTCCTAAACAAATCGTATATTTTTTCGCTAGATTGAGTGATATTTCAGAAAAAATCGACAATGTTCATTAGATCCATTACTAGATTACTAAATGAAGTATCCTAACTTTGACCTTTACAGCTGTTAACTGATCAGTCAGACCACGAAATAGCTACAACCGAGCCAAAATGTGACGTGATACCTGTCAAGCTCACTTTCCAAAAAACTCAGCCGAAAAAATCCCAAGATACCCTTAACAAATGTCATCAACACAAGCATCAACGAAAGGAGAACCTGATCAAATTGAACGACATCATCGAAGAAAAGCATGACACGCCGCCTGAACAGCTCAAAAGGCCATGGCTTAATCAAGATGTCCGCTACGAGTTCTTTAGAGCTCTTCACAGCAGCAACTCGGAATATGGCCTCAATACTCTGGAGAATAAGAATACCGATATATTTGAAGATCTGAGTTTGAGCAAGTGCGTAACTAGGTTACAAAGTCAGTTGCGTTTATGAATAGATGGTAACACTCTAGCGTACGGAAGTTAGGTGGTCGCGCGCGTGGGCCATCTCGCTATTAACAATTAAATAGACATGCTTAAAAATAAACTAAGCTTGAAATACTTTTCGGAGCCTTGTATAGAAATGTTTGAGATCCAATTTACATACTTGGAAATTTTAAAATGATGATTGTTAACTGAGGTTTTAAGCATTGACAATGAATACTTTTGGGGTATTGCAGATTTACAATTACAATTTACTACTTAAGATCCAAAAAACCTAAAAACCTTTGTTTTAGGAGTTCGGAGCCAGGAAAACAAAACAATTTTGTAAGTTATTTAAAAAAAAACATTTAAATAAATTTGCACCGAACCACCGCCTGGCATCCTCCTGATCCATATTAAGTGACGTCCAACAAAAGCGATTATAAGCGAGTCGAAAATATATTCCACGAATGCGGAAATAACGAGGCACCGTCATCTTAAACACCTCAAATTCAAGATATTAGAGTGTTATAGCATTGACAAATAACTATACAGAGTGTTTCAAATTCGACCCTCACGATTGGGATCTCGGAAACTGTAAGAGATCCGAAGTCGTTGCGTATTCAGATAATCAACAAAATGGCGCTTATAAAGTTCTGAAATTTAAAGTACTTCCGGAGAGAGACGGAAAAAACCGAATTTTCCCAAAATCGTTTTAGTTTTTTTCTGACTTTATTTGTAATGCGATTTAAAAATAAATTGCACATTCACATTGCTTTTTCTTCTCTACAAAAAAGACATAATTAGAATTTCAATATGACGTTTGGTTTCTTGCCCTCCAGAATCAACTTTAGTTTTTCTTATGGACGCCATATTGGATTCTTGCATAGAGTTTCCGAAAATGTAAATACTTCATACATTGACGTTGCCAAGCCTTAGTTATTTCAAAAAAGCAGAATTTCCTAGGTAGGCCTTGAAATAATAAGATAGTAATTTATTGGAGATGAGCTTTCAAAATAAATTGCATCTTGTCATTGTTACTTATTCTCCTCTAGAAGATAGCGAAGTCAAATTTTCAATTTGGCATGTCTTCTTTCGACTTCCATCACCAACTTCGTTCAATTAGTTTTTTCGGTGCTTTAAAGTATCTGGCTGAAGTTATGGACCACGCGAGGTGGGAAGTAGGGGCGCAGGCAGAAGCCTAAATATCAGGGTACCGCGGAGGTTATGAGGAGCTTAAATAAACTTTGTTAATCCGATTTTCGAACTGCTTGAGGTTAGTACAACTGGGAAAAGCCTCAGGGAGATCGTTCGACAATACCCTAGGGACAAAGCGGCGGTCGTATCGAAAAGTTATGGAAGTGCAACACGGTTAGGATGGAAGGTCGAAGTCAGGTGAGTCTGTCTGGCAGGCACATCGCTCGACGGCATCATGGAGGAGAGCTCGGAGGAGCAAAGCCTGTTGACTTAGAAGTAGAAGAGAGCTAGACTGCCGACGGCGAAAGGGTCCTGCGATTATACGTTAGAGCAGAGTAACCGATCAGTCAGACATCAGACATCAAGCACGGATAATGTAGTCGGGGTAGCAGCACTCCAAACATGTGAGCAGTACTCGAGGCTAGGTGTTATCTGGGACTTGTACACAGTGAGGAGGTGATGTGGAGGAAAGTACATATTAACCCTAAACAAATAGCTTAGCTAGAACCGAGATATGTTAGTGCCAGATTAAGTTCTCGATATTCTGAACTCTTACCAGCCGAAATGAAGGATTTTCTGGTAGAACTTGGCCATTCATCGAAATTGGATGAGCGTTAGGACGCTTATTGCTAGTCACGCAACAGTACTGTGTTTTGGAAGCATTAAACTGTAGTACCAGATTGTTGCGTCCCCAAACAGTGATAACTGCCAGCTCTGGCAGTGCTGAATATTTATATTTTTCAAAGTATACAGGGTGTTCAGAAGTTCGATACCAACATTTTAAGGGGTGACAGCGTACCCCATTTGAAACACATTTAGCCTTATATATTTTTGTATAAAGCCGAACCGTGTTTGAGTTTTATGGAATCCTAGAATACAGCCAAAATTATGCGATAAACCATCGCTTGTTCAATACTTAAGGACAACTCAGTTGTACCTTTATTTTTATCATTTATCTTGATGCATAGTTTCTCTATAGAAATAGTTTCCAAATTATCAAAAGATCGTGTACACGTTATAAAAAATAATGTTGTTTCACTGAATTTATCAATTTTCCAGTGCTTGTTGGCTTTCCGAACGAACTTAAGGGAAAATTTGGCAACATTGTAATTAAAAATCAATGGAAAAACTTCCCCCACTTCTGCTTCTCAGCTTTTTTCATGAATAAGGCATTTGACGTGCCAAATTATACATCTACTCAATACAAAATGCAAACTGTTATTTTTATGCATTTTCGTGCCCTAGTATCATATAGTACATTTTACCAGGAGCGATTCCGTTTCACATGTCCGTGCAGTGGCGGATTTAGATGGAGGCGCCCCCTGCGCCCCCCCCCTAGACGTCTGACACTTGCTTTTGTAATCTAACACCATTGTGTTACTTTCTGACACATGATGGCGACAGAAGCATACTAACTATAAGTTATAGCAATACGAACTGAGCATTGCAATTTTTTGGTATCCCAAATGCTGACCCTCTTTGACATTACTTGTTTACAGCACAATTCTTACAATTTATACGTATATACGAGTATTGTGACTTGTGACAAATCTAAGTCTGGGTACCTAATATACTAGCTATACAAATTACACTTAAAAGGTGATCTATGTTCTTTTTATTACTCAATAGTAATTTGAAAAGTGTGTAAAGCTTGACTGATTTTGTTCGGGATTGGTGTTGCAGCGAAGCACTATGTTAGATGAACGCTTAAACTTCGTCGATCGATGCTCAAAGTCAATACCACACGTCTCGCATTTCTTCTCGCGTATGTTATTTATGTTGCTATATTGAATTCGTTTAAATCACAGAACTGCTACACTACACGTGAATATGTACATTCCTATATTCCTGTACTTGTTTCGAACAAACATACATCATCAAAATAATTACGATCTAACAGATAGTTTTTTACAATGATTTCCAACATTTTTACATGCGATCAATACCTGTTCGAAAACTGAGAAAACAACAACTATGCCGTAAATCTAAGTCCGACAACGAAAGTTTGAAAAAACCCCAACCCCTACTGAGAGGGGCCGTGGCAAATGCTTGCTCCGGAAGTTGTATCCAGTATACAATTTCTTCGCGTTTGTACAATGTACACGCGTTAAGGAATACCTCAGTACCGATTGCCGGGTGGCGGTACAAGTCCACCAACGGGCCACTTTAGCTCTATTTAATATCATTAACACGCAAAAAGAAGGTGGTAGACAAGGACCAGTAGACCGAAGCGGTACCACCCGCTAGCTTTTCCCAGGGTGTCTTATAAATGTCCGCATGTTTCCACACCTAAGCTATGCAGCGGTTATCTTCCAAAACAAAGAAATTAATGATGGTGGATCTCTCGAGTACTAAGAATTCCGGATGTAAACTCACTCCATTCTCGGAATGGACGGGTGGAGGGTGGACTCGAGGGCAGATCGGAGATAAATTTTGTTTCGCGAACATCTGCGGGATTAACAGCAACATTGATGCTGTACATCACTACTTGCAATCCAATCGTCCCGCCATGCTTTTCTTGGCGGAGACCAAAATCTCAGAGTCCGCACCGATTAACCATCTTAAGCAAACTTCCATCCTATGGCCTCCCAGAAAAGTTTTGCAGATGGTTGTCTCTGGCCGCAAGTTATCCGTCGTAATTGACGGGTTCTCCTCTTCATCCCACAACGACAACGTTGGTGATCCCCAGGGATCGGTCTTGGCTCTGACACTGTTCCTCTTACATATCAATGACCTTCTTTTCTGCACGATCAACCCAAACCACAGTTTCGCTGATGACAGCACTCTACATGCAGGAATTCAGAGTGACAGCCGAGCTCTGCCGCTGAGCTGGAAAATAGAAGACTAGCGACGATTTCCTCTCTGACGAGAGACCTGGAGGTTATCACTGCTTGGGGACACAACAATCTTGTTAAGTTTAATGCTTCCAAAACACAGTACTGTACCTTGACGAACAAAAAGTGTCCTAAAGCTTATCCGATTTCGATGGATGGCCGAGCTCTGCCAAAGAGGCATTCACTTCGACAGGTCGGAGTCCAGATCACCTGGTCTGGCACAAACTCATCTCGTCAAGAGCGGCAGCTGCTGCGAAAAATCTGTTTAGGGCTCAGAAGTACTTTTCTCCGCATGACCTTCTCACTCTATACAAGGCCCAGATAAGGCCTAGCCTCGAGTATTGATCACACATTTGGGGTGCTGCCGCTCCGACTACATTATTTATGCTCGATGCTGACCAGAGGAGGGCTGTCCGACTGATCGATGACTCGGGAATCTTTCGCACAGGCGGGCTGTCGGCGATCTAGGTCTTTTGTACAGGTAAACCAATGCGCTTTGCTCCTCAGAGCTCTCTTCCACGATGCCGCCACGCGATGTGCCTGCCAGACAGACCCGCCTGACTTTGAGTTCCCATCCTGACCGTGTCGTGTTTGTTTTCGCAATCAAAAAGATTGTTTTGTGTGGAATGGACTGGGATATATCCCGGAGTCCCACAGAATGTTTTATTTTTTTTGTTACCAGCAATGAAGTTTTTTATGTTTGAATCTTTAATATTATTACACTAGTTAATTATACATGCCACGTACTTATTTTGTTCTCATATAATAAAATATTGCCTTTTTGAGGATTTCGGAGCATTATCCATGTTTTTTTTTTCAAGCTGGCCTTGACCAGATAGAATACAATGGATTTAAGGAGCAATAATAGGATAAATTCTAGAAGTTCCACTGAGGTTAAAAAATGACCAGTCCCAAGTATTGTTTGCGCCCCCCACTAGACGAAATCCTGAATCCGCCCTTGTT